CGAAAAATCATGGCGGCGCAGTGTCAGTGTCTATGGCTGGCTCGAATGTAAATAAATCAGAAAAAACTATCAAATGTTATCGATGTAAACAGATTGGTCATTATAAATCACAGTGCAAACAGAATAATTCGGAAATAAAGAAGACACATGCGTTTTCGGCAATTTTCCTGAACGGAAATTATAATAAAAATGATTTTTATTTGGATAGCGGGGCGAGTCGTCATATGATAACAGATGTTAAGAAGATGAAAAAACGTGTGCCATACACCGAATATCCCGGAGATAACGGCAGCAAATTCAAGTGCTATGCCCGTATTGTGCTCGGGTGATGTAGATATAGTGACAGTTACACCACAGTGCAAGTTTGAGGTTACATTGAAAAATACTTTGTGTATACCTAACCTCACCACTAATTTGATTTCGGTCAGTCAACTTCACAAAACTGGAAACAAAGTGCAGTTTGGTGTGAACAAGGCCCATATTTACAACAAAGACAACTGTTTAGTGGCAGTGGCACACGAGATTGACGGTGTTTATAAGCTGGATGTATGGTGTGAAGAAGTATGTTTGTTTACGACACCTTCGTCAGCCGCCACTAGTGAAGTATGGCACAGAAGATTGGGTCACTTGAATATGAATGACCAGAACAAGATGAAAGATGGAGCTGTCACGGGAATATCGTATACAGATAAGTCAATGATCAACAAAAATACATGCACAGTGTGTTGTGAAGGGAAGCAGTTTCGCTTACCGTTCGGCCAAGGAGGAACGAGAAGCAGTGAGCCTCTAGATGTGATACACAGTGATGTTTGTGGGCCAATGGAGACTACATCAATTGGAGGAGCAAGGTACTTTCTTATTTTGTTGACGATTTTACACGCATGGTGTTTGTCTACTTCATTAAAGCAAAAAGTGAGGTATTCAAATGTTTCAAGGAATTTAAATCATTGGTTGAAAACCAACAGTGCAAAAAGATTAAAATACTTAGGACTGATAATGGCTTAGAGTTTTGTAGTAATGAATTTGAAAATTACTTGAAGGAAGCAGGCATTATTCATCAAAAGAGTAATGCATATACTCCGGAGCAAAATGGTTTGAGCGAGCGAATGAATCGAACCATTGTTGAACGAGCTAGATGTTTATTATTTGATGCACGGCTAGATAAGAAGTTTTGGGCGGAGGCTACAAATACTGCCGTCTATCTTAAGAATAGGTCGATTGCATCAGCATTAAATAATAAAACTCCGTATGAGCTCTGGACAAATAAGAAACCAGATTTAAGCCATGTCCGTATATTTGGGAGCCCAGTGATGGTGCACGTCCCAAAAGAAAAAAGGTTAAAGTGGGATAGAAAAGCGAAAAAGCATATCCTAGTTGGCTTTGCGGAGAATGTAAAAGGCTATAGAGTCTATGATCCTGTAAAGAGATGCGTAATGACAAGCAGAGACGTCGTCATTCAAGAAAGTACAGATAGTAACTATTCAGAGGATAAAACTGTAACAGTTTCAGTTGGGGATATCCAAGCTAATATTGAGAGTACTGATGATGAGTTTAAAAAGGAAACAGTTACAGATTTAGATACTTCTTCAGAGTCAGAATTTCTTAATGCCTTGAATGACTTGGATCCTATGTTACAGCAATCTCAAGATGAAGAAGAAATAGTACAGGAACAGAAGACAGGACCACAGCAGTCAGCATCAGAGCATACAGTACCAGAGGGACCAGTCTTACCAGAGAAGAGGGTGAGGAAACAACCACAGCGTTACGGGTACTCAAACTTATGTACTTTGGGAAACTCAGAAAATAGCACTGATCCTGTGACCATCCAGGAAGCCCTGGCGAGCCCAGATAGAGACATGTGGATTAAGGCTATGCAAGATGAGATGCAAGCATTTAAAGACAATGAAGCTTGGACTCCAGTGAATGCATTACCTTCAGACAAAACTCTAGTGCAGTGCAAGTGGGTGTTTAAAAAGAAAGTCAATAGTGATAAAAGTGTGCGATATAGAGCGCGTTTAGTGGCCAAGGGTTTCATGCAGAGACCAGGTATTGACTATAATGAAACATTTTCGCCTGTCGTCAGGCATTCCACTTTAAAGTTGTTGTTTGCATTGTCAGCTCAATTAAATTTTGATATCACTCATTTAGATGTTTGTACAGCTTTTTTGAATGGTTATCTAAAAGAAGATATTTATATGGTTCAACCAGATGTACATTGCGATCCTGTTAAGAAACAGATTATTGTAAAACTGAATAAAGCAATTTATGGGTTGAAACAGTCTTCTCGCTCTTGGTATGAAAGAATAGAGCAATGTTTAAATAAATTAGAATTCAAAAAGAGTAGCTTTGAACCATGTATTTTTACAAAAATGAATGATAATGTAAAGATTGTGATTGCATTGTATGTTGATGATTTTTTTGTGTTCTCAAGTACTAACAGTAAAGTAGAAACTGATAATTTAATTTCTGTTTTAAGTTCAAAGTTCAAAATAAAAAATTTAGGACAAGTTCAACAATGTTTAGGCATGAGAGTGAAAATAGATAAGGAATCTAATGTTATCACTCTAGATCAAGAACAGTATGTAGAGCAATTACTTGAAAAATTTAATATGACAGATTGTAAAATTGCAAGTACTCCGATGGAATGTAAATTAGCTATAGATAAATCTGAATCTTGTGATAAAGAACTTCCATATCAGCAATTGATTGGAAGCCTAATGTATTTGTCGGTCCTCACTAGACCCGATATTTCTTTTTGTGTGAGCTTTCTTAGTCAATTTAATAAAAATCACACAAGTGTACATTGGAATTATGCAAAAAGAATACTTAGATACCTTAAGAAAACTAAGAAATTTTGTTTAAAATATGTAAAGGAAAAAGCTGAACTCATAGGATATGTTGATGCTGATTGGGCAAGTAATACAGTAGATCGCAAATCATATACTGGTTATTGTTTTGTAATGTCGGGCTCAGCTATTTCCTGGGAGAGCAAGAAGCAAAGAACTGTAGCTTTGTCAAGCATGGAAGCTGAATATATGTCTATTGCTGAGGCTTGTAAAGAGGCCATTCATTTAAGATCTTTACTTTTTGAACTGACTGGTAGGTTATTAACTGTACGTTTATGTAATGATAGTCAAAGTGCACAGAAGTTGGTGGCAAATTATGGATGTCATAGAAGAAGTAAACATATTGATATTCGTTATCATTTTATCAGAGATGCTGTGAGTGATAAAATCATTAACTTAGAATATTTGCCAACAACTGCTATGCCTGCTGATGTTCTGACAAAAGCTTTAAATCCTATGAAGCATTATAAATGTATAGAAGGGATAGGGGTTGGTTCACTGGAAAGTTAAATTGTAAATTTAGAAACACTTTATTTATTTGCTGTAGTTGGGGTGTTAGAATAAAATATTATTCTATAATAGTAACATCAAATAAACATGTAACTATGTATTGTCTGTGGTCTAGTTATAAAAAAAAAAAAAAAAACAATAAATCTTACTTCCGCCATTGATTTGCTCCGAACACGTTCGTTTTTATTTCATTTCAATATTCTAATAATATGTATGGCATAATATCGCGAAATAATTATTGTGTAGGAAACTGAAAAGTATTGCATATTTATCGACATTTTTAAAAAGTACTATTAAAATCTCTTTTTAGCTTAACGTGACCAGAATATATTTTCTATCTATAACAATACTGACTTTTTATGTTTTAATATGAACCAGTGTGAATTTCAACTAAGTGACTTTTGTTACCAACATTTGACTATAGGTATGTGTTCATCAAAACTTAGTATGTTAATTGGTAATACGATAACAAGACCAATATCTGCCTTAGGCTATCGTGACTAAGCAAAATTGCCAAAAGGAATTGGTATAGTGTTACATACACTCATTATCGGCAAACATGGTAATTTCCACTACAACTTTGAAATCAATCTTATACAAACAAGGAAAGTGGCACACAAAAACATGAGGAAAGGGAAAGATCCCCCAGCAACTGAGAGTTGGTTATCGATTAGTCTGCTCCAATTATTGGGACGACTCCATCTAAGTTCCTACTTATACAATCCTTCATTCTTTATCTTGAATATCTATCTTGTACTCGCTAAGGAGCTTCACGTGATAAATCTTTGTGAGCCACAAAAATTTTAATTCTGTTAAATACTGGCATAAAAAAATGATTTCTTCTACATATCAGTTTTATCACATGTTTGTTCGTTTTAAAACTCATGTATGACGATGATCTTGAATCATCAGAAGTTGCTCAACACAATAACAAAAATGGGTTAATTTATGGCGAAAAAGCGAATGAGAATACCTAGGTAAAATAAAATATTGATGTACTTACAGTATAATTATGTATCTACATACTCATGGCAGGAAAAAAAATTAGAATGCTGGACAGTAAAATCACCCTTCGTACTTATCAATCGATGAAAATGAAATGGAAATTGCCAACGCGGAATATACAAGGTCATATTTGCCTTTACAGAAATTTGGATATTAGAGCTTATTACAAAGTCATAAAGTATTTTATAGTTAGTAGATTCTCTGCCCAGACGACTTTGATTGCTGATAAAATAAGAAAACTAGCGCCATCTATGCAACGTATCTCCACCCAGATAGGTTTCATTCGTGACCTACACTTACATTGTGCAGTGTTTTCGATGCAACTTAGTTTTCAGCAAACTTCATAGGTGGCGCCGCTAACTACGTGTTTGTCTACACAGCTTTAAGAGGAACTCTTTTTTTGGTGTAAGAAATTATACTGAAAACGCATAGATGACGTTGCCCATACGGCGCGACATCTTCAACAATGTTAGCTATTATTTATCAAACAGCACAATAGATGTCACTAGTGTGACTTCTCTCGACAAAAATGACACGAAAATCAGTTTAAAGGATAAAATAGTCATATTACTGTTGTTAATTTATTCCGTCAAATAAATATTGCATTTTTATGAGAGAACATAATCGAGTATCAGACACTTACTGACTAAAACACTCCTGTTCCTTTTCCTGCTCCAGGCCGAGGCCGCGCGCCGGACCGAACCTAACTGTGAAATACTGCACCTGAGGCAAAATCTAATTAGACAGCTGTTTAAGCAATTATTTATTTACTTCAATTTGTAGCTATTATTAATTTATTCGAATTGATTTATTTAATTGCTGCGGTCGTGGTGGCACGGAATTTAAGGAGCCCACTTCTCATGCATGAGGGTTCGAAACCTGGCAAGTACCAATGTGACTTTTGCCGAGTTATATGTACTTTCTAATAATTTAGACACCACTGACATACGGTGAAGGTTAACATCGTGAGGAAACCTGGACTTATAATAGTTATAATATCTAATTATAAGTTTGAAATCGCCCACCCGTATTGAAAGTGTGGTGATGTTAAAACCTTCTCCGTGTGAGAAGATGCCTTTGCTCAGCAATGGGCACTTATGGGCTGATGATGAAGACTTGCTGCGCCATTGGCTTTACTCGTGTAATTTACAATAAAGTATTATTTACACAATTTGTATAACAATACGTTCGACGTAAAAAGATTGTGGTATAGCACATTTGTGCCCAATGCAATTTTTTTATTGAATTGAATTGCAGTGAAGCAGGAGTCCGGAGCTCACAGCGTACCCTATTAATCTATTTTTAACTATAGTTCGTTCCATAATTAGCGACAACGATTTGACATTTCGAGTGTTGCAAGTTTTTTCCATTTCATAAATAGTGAAGTCCCGCGACCGGTATTGACCGAAAGACCGAAATTAAATTCTGGACTTCGTGCATTTTAAAAGCATTGTTATATTTAGCTACTTTCTCTGGTACCATCCTTTGCCCATACTAACTCAGTCGCATTAAAATCACAATGGTAAGGAGGCAACCGTAAAATAGTGACCTACCTTTTAGCAGCCATCCGTCCACGACGTATCGTTCATAATTACTCTCCTCTTTCCGGGAAATCTCCAACAGCTCGGCTTTCAGCATAGGTTCCTCAAATATAATGTTTTTCTTTTAGCCAGTCTCGGATTTCGCATTTTTATTTTAAATTATTATTATTAATTCCACTAAACTATAAAAACATCACCGCAACGTTGCTTTATTTTGCTCAGGGTACTTTATAAAAAAACGGCATCGGTATTTTATTTAAAACATCGTACTCGGGCCCATCACTATGTTAAAAAATCTGGCCACATCATTTTGTAGTTTGACATTTGCTGTTGTCAAATTGTTGTCTCTAATTATGGAACGAACTATATTTATGACCTAATATTTTTTACCATAAGTTGGATATCTCCAATCTATCTTTAGTAAGCGTTATAATTAAGGTTCATTCCTTGAGAAGATGCCTTTGCCTTACAGTGGGCACTAATGAGCTGATGACGAATTAAAAACTCGTAGATTTTTTATTCCTGACGTACAAACTGACACGTTAGTACTTAACGCAACGAATGTATCTTCTGTTAATCTTATGTATTGAAATATGACATAAATTAGAGAAACAAAACCAAAACGTATAGATGCACTTTAATTTAATTAACAAAAGTTAAGGAGACAAACAGACATTAAAAATTAACAACTTAATTTAAACTAACTTAACTTTATACATTTTTGAAATAATAAGTGGATAACATGAGAAAAACAAATATACAACAATATTTAAAAAAAAATAAGGAACAATTATCATGTATCTTAAAACAGTTTACAGAGTAACTTTATCTAGTCATTACTTAGTAATATGTATAACATCATTAATTTGATAAGACATTTTATTATTCAACGCAATAATTTCAATATAAGACACTTTAAGCAGCGATTTGTTTAATAAGACTGAGGGCCTCTGTTTCACTATGTAATTTCGATCTAGTTCTTTTAATATATCACATAAATAAAAGAACTAGATCGTAACTCCTATGTACTGAGTGCCACATACGTTTATATGTTACTTAAGTATATGATGGCTGTGAAGCAGGCACTAACTGCAAGTGAATTTACCATATTTTCGCTATTTGGTAGATATGCAGAAAAAGAAATGCATTTCAATTTTGTGATACCATCAATCATTTAAACCAATCCCCATCCATCAACAGATTGAATACAAAAGTAATACTCTTGAAACTACGACAAAATAGATTCATCAAATCTACCTTTTACATGCATATATATGGTACATTTCTAGAATGGACTTACTCGAAACGATACTCAATAAAAATGTCTGTTTAATTATAAAATAAGTTACGTCTTTTTACATTACCTGACCACCGTATAGAAGATGACAGAAGTAAAAGTCGTAGCATTTCAATAGTTAATGACCAAATCAAACTGACTGTTGTAACTTTTCCACGACAAGTCATTAAGGAATGAGATAGAAAATAAAATATTTCCCAATGGACTACATTCCATTACCTCGAAGTAATTAAAGAACTAAGGCGATATTGCTATATGCGCACAAACCAAGTTTCGTGAAAAATTAGTATTTTTCACTTCATAGATACGTGTACGCACATACATGTTCTTGCTTTAGCGAAAACGTTTTTAAACTTTTAATGAAATGTTACTGATAAAATTCATATTTCGAATGAAAAAATATTGCTTTTTTAATAAAATGTAGCCTAGGGGCGAATCAATTCGTCCGGAAATCGGATTTGGTCAATCACTTCTGTTTGACCCCAAGTACTCGCTCAAAATATGACCAAAGTCAATATTCTTGTTTTACAATAAATATTTTTATAGTGAGTCACTACGCAAACAGTTATTGGCAACTCAATGATATACCAGAGCATGCAAATATTTGACGTCCGCTGAAATATAAGCTGGCCCTTTGACAAAATGCCAAAAATATTTCATTCCAGCGTATTCTTGAATGTTTTTAACGTCTTTTATAAGTGGCAGTGGCAGGCAGTGTTGATAGCGCTGTTGTAATATAAAAACAAGTTACTCTATAAAATGAAAAATAATATACTTATTACATGAAAATATAGGAATTGATTTGGTTTATATCATTGCAAATAATACAGCTAGAACAACAGCAGCAATGGCAGCCTGTCTGGCAGTTTCATAAACCTTCTTGATATCTAACATTCTTGCAGTATTCCATATAATATAGCGCATAGCATTGAAATAATGGTATGCAAAAGGTAAACCAAGAATGATTTTCACAAGGAATGTTGTCAAACGACCAAGATTAAGACTTTGGATCATAGACACATAAGTTTCTACACCATTGGAGAGGAACAAAGCACCGAAAGCCAAACTGAATGCGTAAAAAGTTAGGATGGCACCTGAAACAGAGGAGATATACCGAGTTATTAATTAATGTCAAAAAAGTCAAAGTCAAAAATCATTTATTCCAATTAGACCTTTTAGTGTCAGTCTGTCGGTCAGTCCTCTTACCCCCGGTTTCCGAAAGGCCGATCAATGTCAAAATCAATTTAATTTCTTGTCAAGTCATCTGATTGGTTGACTGAATTATCAACAACCAATCAGATAACTTGACAAGAGATTTAACAGGAGATTAGTTAATTTTTGCGTTGACAACCCTTTCAGAAACCGGATGCTAGTGAAGCTATTTAATTCTAATTATTAATTCTTCTAATTATTATAATGATTTATATAAAAAAACACAGCTACGTTTTAAATGCGGGATTCTTTTTACATTCCTTATGTGCTCTTTTTATTGTGGAAAAGTGGAACTTTGAAATGAATGGTCGAATCGACCGAAATGATACCACAGAACTGGCGTGAAACAACCAGCTCCAAAGTTAATATTTCTTAAATTTCCCCCTTATCTTCAAAACTCTGCCTTATTCTCAAAATCTCAAAAACCCGACCCCAAAAGTCCGGGCACACTGTCCTTAGGCGATGGCGATTATTTACGATCAAATGACCCATGTAAACAAGCGTGGTGTTGTTGTGTTCGAACTTTGGCCGTTGTGAGAAAAGGTCTTTCCTCAGCAGTGGGCACTTATAGGCTGATAATGATGATGATGATGATGTTCCGATCTGGTTGATTGTTGATAGTAAACACAGTGTATTATCAGCATTAAGCGCGTATACGTCAAAAATCGACTATCAATCTCTTCTTAAAACAAACTTACATTATGATTAACTCTATCTATTTATTTATTATTTATTATTATTTTGTATGTTCCTTTCCACTCACGGGACCACAGGGTCCCGGACTTTTGGAAGGCGTACGAGGGGCCGGAGCCAACTCGCAGAGGCCCTTTGAACAACTTTAATATAAGTGAAATGGGACATCAGCCGGCAGTTATCCCTGTATGCACTATGAAAGTGCACCCAAGGACAATCCCCGGTTGATGGAGGACTATTGCGAAATGTGGTAAAAATTTATAAGGTTATGGGTATGGGTTGCTATGGACTAGTGGATGAAAACTATGGAAATACTATGGCCCCTGCCCCTGACCAATATTGATACATACGGATAAACAGGCAGGGGGTGACTGGCAAACTCAATTAATGGGCCCCCGGAAACGGCCGCTAGCATGTAGCGACACGGGGGCAACATACGTTGAGCTGCTTGGGGAAGGAGAAGCATCCCACGGCTATCAGAGCAATCCCGGAAGTACGGTCAAGACCCCTACCAGCATCTTACTGAGATACATCCTTCCCCCGAGTCTCCTTCAACTCCTACTCTTGCGAATCTCCACTCAAGCCAGACAATTAAGGCAAGAATGAGGTGAGAGGGCTTGTTCCTCATCAGTGTTCACTCCAGCTAGTCACGAGGACTAACCGGAGAGAGAAGAACAAGACACATCCCGGGAGTCAGGTCCGTGGGGTCGCCACTGCCCAATAGCTCGCCACAAGCTGCCTTGCGGATTATATCTAAAACCAAGTTTAAATTTGTGAAATATAATACACGAGGCACCAAAGCAAATCAGCAAAAGTTATTTTGTTGCAGTTCATTCACGCCAAAACAACTTTGTGTACGCGTAATCAGCTTACGATTTGCAGCAGACAAGTTCAATCCTCGTGTGTGTTCGTTGTATTTGCACTTCATAGTGCCCTCCACAACGTCATACAAAGTAAAGATATTGAACATTTTGTTTGTAGCTAATGTGTAAACGAGAAACTATGTTGTTTCAGTTTTGTTGTCCGGTGAAAGATAGTTTGTGTTTGTGTGTGTTTCAGTTACACATTTTGTCCTTTGTTTAAGTAGGGTTTTGTACTATTCTGCATATGTTAACGTGTAGCAAACTTTGTTCGTAATTTGTCACATTGTAGTTTGGTCTATTTTGACAAAAATGTTAGTTGTAATAATTGCATATAATATTAGTTTGGAAATTGTCAATTGAATGAAACGTTTATAACACCACATAAGCAAAATGTTAACTATTTCGATTTTGATATTATCTATATACTTATATTATAAAGAGGTAAAATTTGTAAGTTTATATGTAGGATGTAATCTTTGGAACTGCTGGTTGGATTGCTGAAATTCTTTCATTGATAGATAGGTAAAATGTTCCTTTGTGCTATAGGCTGTAAAACATCACGCTGCGATCATATGGAGCCGAGCAGAGACTGAAACCGCGCAAGAGTAGCTAGTATTGTATAACGAAATCGAGCATCATTGTAATTTTTTTTAATTTAAGAATAAGAAAGTCCAAAAAGCCACTATGGCAAAATTTAGGCTCATCCTATTAGACCAAATTTTAACACTTAACAAAAGGATGGTATATACTCACGTGTGTACAGTCTTATGTTAGGAGTTTTATACATTTTGTTGTTTATTAGAAACTACTTCTTTACTGCCAGCCTCATCTGAGGGTAGAAATAGTTCAATGTAAAAAGCATTCGATACAAAATAGGTGCTGTGTTGTTTATAGAGGCTTCGAGTTTGTGTAACAAAACTCTTAACAAAGACTTGTTGCACGTTGTCATAGATTCAACCATAATTATTTAATGGTATAAGTCGACAAACGAGCAGACAGATTACCACTAAGAAGTTACGAGTGCGTTGCCGGCCTTTTGGGGAAAGGGGTTGCGGATATAAAGATCGGGAAGGGACAGGGGAAGGGGCTGGATTGGGCCTCTGGTAACCTCACTCACACGGCGAAACACAACGCTTTGGTTGTTTCACGCCGGTATTCTGTGAGGCAGTGGTATCAATCCGGTCGAGCCAACCCATTCGTGCCGAAGCTTGGCTCTCTCACACTCAGTTATACCATTTAATACTCAAGGCGACACGAAAACTAAGCGAAGTTTTTTTATGGAGTAGGCGGCAAACAAGCAGTCGGATCACGTGATGGTAAGCGATCGGCGCCGCCCATGTACATCTGCAACACCAGAGGAGTCACAGGTGCGTTGCCGGCCTTTAGTCACAGGTGCGTTGCCCGCCTTTTTTGTTGTTTGGAAGTGGTATATTAACAAAATAATGTGCGCTTTTTAGAGTACTCTTTCGAATCAGCTTTAAGCAGCTTTTTATTTATGTCATTAAATGTATTTTTAGTTATTCTCTGAAGCTTAGTTGTTCATCAAATGCCATTATTATAGAGGAAAAATTCAAAGAGGTACATTTACAATAATACTCAACCCTTATTCAAAGTGCGATTTTAGTAATAATACTAAAACACGGTGTACTTCGATTAGTTTCCGTGCCGCCAAGTGTATTAAATGCGATAACTGCGGTAGATACAGAAACAAGACCACCAAACACAAATTCACTTACATAGAATTTTAGTTTGAATAAACGGACGAACATTTATTTGTAAAGGAATGCAATATGGAAACAAACATTTCTGCGAATATAGGTACTTTATGAACGTTTCCTTTTTAATCAAATGCCTGAATGAATCAATCAAATTTTTCTTTAATGAAAAAACTTGTTCTCCTCTATTTGATATCTATACTTATAAAGAGCTAAAATTCGTAAGTTTGTATGTAGGGGGTAGGTTGGAACCGCTAATAATAATCAAATCTTTGGCAAATAATTATCAAATCTAATCTTTGGAACCGCTGGTCCGATTGCCAAAATTCTTTCACTGATAGATAGCAACAATGTTCGTGAGTGCTATAGGCTATAAAACATCACGCTACGATCAAATGGATCTAAACAGTGGGTGAAACCGCGCGAGTTTAGCTAGTTGATATATAAAAGTAGAAAAATAATGTACAAGCTTTCTACACTTTGCGTTCAATCACAACGTTGTAATGAAATAAGATCCTAAGAAAAATAAATCACTGTGTCTTAGATGACAGCACGGTTCTTTCAAGTAATACCAAGAACTCTTGCTATCAATTGTTACTGATTGCAAGAACTCTGCAGACTTACATTTCATTACAACAAGCACGTCCTCTATTATTTACATAGCCATTTAAAAACATTCTACTGTTTCTTTTAATTGTAACTAGCTGTGTTCAAGGCCTTCGCAATCATGTTGTTGTTTTACTTAGTTTCTGTTTTATTTACTTTTTAAATGAATATCAATGTACTTAGTAGGTAGTGCAGCTGCTATGCATACAGACACAAAAAAATTTAAGACACAATTATCAAAAAATCTGACATTGGGCCCAGATGGGATCCCAATTATACCCATTTTTATTTGATTATAATTGTAATATGCACCACACCCTTGCCAATGCGTTTCTTGCGAAATTCTTTCAATAAGTGACACGGTACAGGGATCACTTTGTGGCCTCCACAATAATCCATGATAATTAGTTAGTTCGTAACGGGGACGCTAACATGATAGAAGCCTACATGGATAGATACCCTGCTAGTTGAGTAAACACAGATTGATTATGTTGGAGTTCAGCTGCATACCTACATAATATTATGTTGTAAATCACAAAATAATGTTCACATGTTTATTCAAATTTTAACCTCATGACTACGCATTATGAGTCATTCAATGGTTAAGCGGAATCGTATAATGCTAACTAATCTTTTTACAGAAAAAATATATCAGAACTTCAATCAATAATAACCTCGGGAGGTCGGTGCGTAGCACCCAATCGTACCCGATGTTCCACAGGAGAGGTCCCAGGACCGATCCCTGTGGGACACCGCGCGACACCTCTCGCCGATTCCACACGCCCCGGTGACCGGGGTAGATGACGCATCTGTCCGTAAAGTACACACGTCGGCTACACGACGGAGATAGGCAGGCACCCGGTGATACCGGAGTGCCTCCAGAATGCAGCTCCAGGGCAAGGAGTTCAAGGCGTTGGTGATGTCCAGAGACACCGCTACGACAACTCGCCCCCTGGCCAACGCAGTCCCCGCCTTGAGGTCCCTCACGCGCATGATGGCGTCCACCGCGGAGCGCCCTCTCCGAAAGCCGAACTGGCCGTCCTCTAAATACGGCCCCCTTCCAGACAGGTGCCCGATGAGGCGGTCCGAGATGATTGTCTCGAAGTTTTCCCTCCTCGTCGAGCAGCACAACGGGCCGATAGGCAGACGGAGTTTCTGCCCCGGTTTCTTCCCGCGGACCAGTTTACCTGTCTTCCACGACAGCGGAAACTGGCCCCTCTCCAAACATACGCTGAACAGATCAATTAGTCGAGGCCTGAGAGCCTCTGAGGCCAGGACCCAAACCTTGGCATGCAGCCCGTCAGGTCCTGGGGCGGTATTCTCGGCGCTTAGCCATCGCACCGCCACTCTCAAATCTACCTCGGTCACTCCGGAAAGGATTACCCTCGTGGTCGTCGTTGTGGCCCGCGTTGGGCACCGCAGGAGGGCGGAGACATAGTTGGAGGCGTGTAACCCCTTTGTGGTTGGGAGAATAGAGCCCCAACACTACATCGTCCACAACCTCCAGCCGGAGACTCTCGAGTCAGTGGGGAAGTGGGGAAACTCAGGTGCAGAGCTTGTCACGCACCATTCGGTAGGGGCGTCACCACGGGTCTATGTTCAGAGTCTCCAACATCTCCCCACGGGTCTATGTTCAGAGTCTCCAACATCTCCTCGCGGGCCCGATCTTAAGCCCGCCGGATCTCCATCCTGAGAGTGGCCTTCGCCGCCCTGTACTTCTCGTATAGCTCTACCTCTCTGGCTTCAGCGTCCAGAGGGCGGATACGCACCAGATCTTAGCATTGGAGGATTTTTTTTTAGAGGCTATGTTCCTCGCGGTCCGGGTGGTTAAGCCAAGACGTCTCGTCCCGGTCCAAGTCATAAAACATGACTATGATCTCTTCCCGGATTACGATATCGACTGCTGCAGTCTGCAGTCGGGTGCAACTAGTGCCCCGATGCTATTCGTTGGCTGGGTGAGTGCACAACGAGCGCCGCCCTTGTTCCTCTATTTCGTTCTCTGTCAGTGCACAACGGACCTCTCCGTAATGCACCTGTTAGGACAGTGTGAGGCGTTTAGTTTTGACAATTTGAATATTTGTGTGACCTACCCCTACCCATTCTTTCGGTTCATGTATTGTACATCGTATATGTACCTATGCATTTTCATTTAAAAATTCTGCAACACTCGTTAGTTTATCTGATTGAAATCTAACGGGGGAAGAGGATTAAGCCTATGGTGTGGTACCATTTTGGTCGAGCTGACCCAATCGTGGCAAAAATAAATTATTTGTAATTCTGTTGTTTAAACCGTACGTTAAGTTATTGACAAATAGTACAGCAAAAGGTTTGCGTCCTCAAAATTTTATTGCCAAAAAAGCCTATTAGGGAGACTCACACTGAGCTGTTGTCTTCAAATGGAAGTCATTTAAAAGAATATATATATTTAATTTTATTGTATTCTGGTGGTATTCTTCACGAAAGTGGCCACATGCCATACGAAAATGATATTTGTTCTTTGCAACAATAGTCTTACAAATTGACCGTCAGAAATTTCCCAAGACGAGGAAGGTTCTACATAAGGTTATTGTTATTTACCTGTAGCTCTTTGGGTTACCGACGTCATTGATGGTACGGTTGGGGCGTACACCGTCAGATGAGGTGACATGGGTCTTTTCAAGGCCATATTTTTATGATCATGGTCCATAACTGGTGGGGGCACGTAAGGCTTATATTTGATCTCATGCCCTTTATATCGGGTGCAGTTGTAGTTTAGTAGACCAGGTGTCATCCGGAATAAACTGGTTCTGAAACAAACCAACATAATGTAAAATAAATTTAATACAAGACGATTTAAGGACCTTTTTGTCAGGGAAAACTCTTCAAATGACCTCTGCCGCTCAGGGTAAGGCGAGAGAGAGTGTCAGACTCTTACTGACTAAAAACCCCCCGTTCCTTCCCTGCTCTTGGCCGAGGCCGCGGTAACACATTGTGCTTAACCCGCAACCCCGGCTGAAAATCAGTCCTATAGGGCGCCGTCTGTGGTGGTCTATTGGCTTTTTAAGGCACGCGCAGAACGCTACGCGTACGCGCACTTGGGTCTGGTTGTGATCGGACGGTGAGCTACCCTTACTCGCCGTCAATTATTGTTAATTATGGTTGTACTTTCTACATGAAAAAAGGGTCGCCAAACTTATATTACTATAAGAAATGGGATTAATGATTTAGTCATGTTTCAATTACTTATATAATTTTATTTGGAAGTTCTCACTGGCGAAATTAATATATTATTCAAAACACATTTTTGAAATATCCTATCAGTTGGACATTTTGAAAATGTGGTGTTAGCAGCATAACTCGTCAATAGCTACACCTTACAAATTACTTTTGTTTTCCTTATTGTCAGGATAAGGTTTTTGTGAGAAAAGAATATTGTAAAAGTCATTGGGAAAGTCAGAAAGCGCGACGCCTGACCAAAATGGAAAGGACGGAAGGTTCTGACGTGTGTGTTACGGGAAATACAATTATGAGTAAAGTAAATTTCAGATGATGAATTATATAAAGCATTTCATTATAATATACAGTCCATTACAATTAAATGAGCAAATTTCGCAGCGTCGTCTTGTAACAATCATTACTGATTGTTTAAAACAGAATATTGGCAAGTCACATACCATAACAGAATCGTCGATAGACACGCATTCTTTTACAATAAGTAACATTTTTGGCCTAAAACATTTTTTCAGAGAAAAGTACGTTAAAAGTAAACGTGTTTGGTGAATATGAAATTACCATATACAGATAAGTTTCCTAGTTTAAGATGAAGAGAAGCTGCAATTCATTCACCTCAGTCGCTTATTTAACTAGGTATACATAAGTATAGTATTTTGATTTGAACAGACAAATCGTTACCAGAAGAAAACAACAAAATGGGTGATCAAAAACTACCAAACACTAATTAGCCCTTAATATGTCAGCCAACACATGTCAGGCATTTTGTTAAATAATGCCACGGAAAATTATGTGGTACTGTTAATTTTTACAAGATTTTATTTAAAAAAATAGCTATACACCTAAAAACCTTACTTAAGTTCTTATGGACAAATCATATAGGATAATTTAGTATCAGTGTGTTAGGAAGCATATATCCGCAGTCTTGGACCGACGCGACGGCCAATTCTCCGGTACCAGAAGCAACAGGTCCGTCTAATTTTTAATGACCTTATCTTCTGATCTTTACCTCATTTTGTAGAGAGTATTGTAAACAATATGAAATAAATGCTTCCAGACACTCTTCGTCGGTAGAATTTTGTGCCAAAAACTTTAAATATCGACAGCAAAGAACGCAACTTTGATAACGGTCTGATACATAACTTGTACCATAACTAACATATAAGAGATTTTCATGTACATTTTTTGCAAATAGTCAGACTAATCCTAGGAACCAAATGATCTTCTAAGCTTAAATACGCGGAACAAAAGACCGCACATGCTAAGATAGTGTCATTCTTGTGCTACTTCATTAAAATTATCTCCTAATTAGTCTAAACCTTTCTTTGTCATCAAGAGACTTTACTTAAATCTATTTTAACTTACCTATCACGTCTCAATTCACTAAATATACATCTTTGCCCATTGCGAATAGCATGAAAAAACATCATTACACAATACAATATAATTATGATTTACAAAAACTTGTAATTCCCAAATGGCACCTCGAAAATTTTGCTGTCACTATGACGCGGCGAAAAAATAAAACTTTAATGTGAAAAGTTAAATATCTGCAAGGAGGTGTTATCGGTTGTGTAAAATGGCAAGAGCTTTTTGTGCCGTAGTTCCTATTCCAAGCTTCAATTTGCCAAATAATAGATTGAAAAGAGTTTTTATAGATAAACGCTCTTACTAAGAGATAAAATATCGTGAGGTTCCCAATTTTATAAAACATTTTTGAAAAATAGTTGTTGCGCTACCTAAAACTTGCCACTGCGATATAGCATTACAACAGTAGGACAATTTTTGGGTGAAATAATGATGTTTCCCAGGAGATCGGCTAAGCGGTGGTTACCTTCGGTTTCTTAAAGGCTTCCCGTCTTTATTCTGTAGTAAATTAACCTTTATCATCATACAACGCTGGACATAGGGCTCCCCACGGAGGCTCCCCAACTGCACGCCACTGAGCTAACCCTTGTCCCCCATTAAATAAAAAACAGTTTGATAAAAAAAATTAAAAAATTAAAATTTCTTTATTTCAGACCCATAATAGTCCATAGATTGTTAGTGTATTAGTTACCAAAAGTTCTTATGTACTATATTAGTATAGTTAGTAACCTATAGCTAATTCCACCCAGTGTCTCTGTATCGGACAATCCGGCCTATCAGCGATCATTTTTAACTAATTAATTAATTTAATTCATTGGATTAAAGATACTGAGCTGATTACCATTCAAGAATACATTCAAATGTTGCTAAGTTTTTTTTCTACTCGAGTTCGTTTAAACAAGTATTTCCATTTTTTTTCGTAGGTACTCTTTTATGAAGCTTGTACCTGCATTGTAGGGTACGTAAATTAATTTCACAACTTCTGCGAGTACGTCTGCGCTGCGCAAACAGCATGAAGTTGGCATGTTACTGACAATCGAAATTGAATCGGACGGAACTGCTGCTCGTTGGATCAAATCAGAACTGAGTTGTTAATTGATGGGAACGGGAATTTTAAAAGAAATAACATTTTTTACTTTTATGCCATGAAATTTTTGAAACATGCCATTTTTATTTTTCGTTATTAATTTATTATTGTTAAACGAAAATCTTCAGTATACATACAATATATATACAATTATAAAATTACTGTCGATTTAACTGTTTAAAGTTAAACAATTGTGAAGGATAACAAAACATTTCACATTTTTTTGAATAAATTTCGGGCTGCGACACCTCCACTTTTTCTGTCTAATTCACTTTTTCGATAAATAACTATCGAAACATCACGGCATCGATACCCGATATTCAAAACATTAATACTTTTAAAATTGCTAAGTTTCAAAATTCCCAGAAATCGTTCAAGGTAATACTATAAAAAGTCTGGAATAAGCATTGACAAAATCTAGCGTAGGTCATTGTCAATACCACAAATAGAAAAAAAATCACCAATTTTTCCTTTCATAAAATTACTAATAAATTGTATTCTAAAACGACGTGTCACGGGCAAGCAAAGAATAAATTAGAAAATATTCACAGTTTAGTATTTCTAAGTTTAATTGGATATGGTTTTGGAATAATCGCCACGCGATGTAAAAGTTTGTAAACGAGCTCTCAAAAGTTTTGCAGACCAGTTACATACGAATGTTATGGCAATGTGTATTTAGATTTTAATTTAATTGTCAAACCTACAATTGGTAATTTTTACCACGGAGTAAACTTTACTAACCCTTTTTTGCATACCATTATAATTAAATACCAGTATTGCTCATATTGCATTTTTTTCGAAAAAACTTTGTGGAGCATGTTCTTCGATCAATACTGATACCGGGCATCATTATTTTATCAAGGGCATCACGTTAATTCCTCAGCATATATTTAAGTGATATTTTGTAAAGACATGCATGGAGAATACGGTGTCCCGGCCGAAGAAAAGTAGGTAGGTAAGTGTACGGTTCCACCATTGTCAACCTGATGCAGGTGCTTAGTTATCACGGATGTTTCCGTAGATTCCTGTTTCGGATTCCGCAAAGGAACGCTTGGGCGTCTTCAACGCGAGGACCACCTTTTTATTTATTTATTTTTTGTCATGGGAAAATCATCAAATGACCTCTCTCGGCCAGGGTAAGGCGAGAGAGAGTGTCAGACTCTTACTGAATAAAAGCCCCCCCGTTCCCTCTCCTGCTCTGGACAAAGGTCGCGATGACTTATTGCGCTTAACCCGCAACCCCGGCTAAACATTAGCCCTATAGGGTCCCGTCTGTGGTGGTCTATTGGCTCTTTGAGGCACGCGCTCGGCGCCGACCGCTCGGGTCTGGTTCTGGTCGGGCGGCGAGCAACCCCTTACGCGCCCGGTGGCCGGGGATCGTCTCTCGATGAGGACCACCCTAAGGACACGATGATGATGGACCTCTTATCTTAGATACTTATACCACATCTCTTAGTATTAAATTAGCACACGCTCCACGCAGACTTTACTTCATATGCTATCCGACCGAATAAGCTCGTTTAAGTTTCTTTTCATTTCAAAAAACATGTCCGTCGTCACTTCACAGCAATTACATAGCGTGAAACTTTAATAAATACGTTTTTCTACTGATTTTTTAAGAAATTGCTGTTCAATTTATTTTCATCTGAACTTTACTACAGCTATTCAAAACTTTTTCAAGGAATGAGAAAAGAATTCCCATCTATTTCTATAAATAGTATACAAAAATAAAATATTTATTGGAAAATTTGTTTATACAGCAAAATATCGATCATAACACACTAAAAAAGAAGTTATTAAGGAATCAACCCAGGCAATTTAACAACTATTTTTAAAAAGGCTTGTTAATAAATATTTTCGTATATTTGGTTTAGATGATAAATACTGTATAACTTTTAAAATATACTGTTAACTGCTAGCCGTTTGTGCATCCCTTCAACTTTAGCTTCATGCAACAATATAGTTGTTTTATTAATTTATGTAACTTCAGTTTTACTATTGTCGTCGTGGTCGTGGTCGTAGTCGTGTTGGTCCGGAGGTTAAGGATTCGCTTCTCATGCATGGGAGTGTGAGTTTGAAACCTGGCAAGTACCTATGTTACTTTTTCCGAAGTATATGTACTTTCTATGATTATTTAGACACCACTGACGGTGAAGGCGCATTGAGCAAGCGTGGTGATTAATGCTCTAACCTTCTCCGTGTGAGAAGAGGCCTTTTCTCAGAAGTGGGCACTTATAGGCTGATGATGAAAATGACGATGATAAGTCTAAAATTAGAGTAAACAATTAAAATACTATTCACCAATCACCATTGTACGCACATATAACATTTTATAAAATTTATTTGTTACTTATTAAGATGGCAAAAGACAGACGGACGGACAGAACAGCCCGCGAACACACTTAACTCCAAAGAAGTAAAGTCAAGAGCAACACGCGGCCATTAAAAAAATCTCTTTCGTCTATTTACAGTAGTAATCCAGAATTTAATGCAATCGTATCAGTCTCCTAAAGCCCAAATCTGGAATATTCAAATACATCATACATGTAGAAAATAATTAAAGAACCATTATGTCACAAACTAAAATTTAATAGCTATTTTTATTTAAATTTTATCACATCACATAAAGGTAATTTGAACATTTATTAAGTACCACGCTTGCTCAAGGCAATTTGGGGATTTCAAATTAAAACTTTTCCTTCGCCGTTTGTCAGTGTTATTTATATAAACTTAGAAAGTACATAGATATATCTTTAAAAAATCCACATTAACTCTAGTCAAGACTCGAACTTCCGCGCCACCACGTCCGTAAATTAAAATATTTATTTATACAATACTTATTTATTATGAAAATTTTAATTATTTTAGGATTTCACACAGTAAAAAGATTCACCAGCATATAGACATACAACGATTAATCTAAAAACATTTTATTTGAATGTTTGGGTAATCCCGACAGATCCAATATCATTCGTAAAAGACAAACAGACCGACAAACTGTCAACTTTATCTATGCACGTTCCTATTAAAGAGATTCGTGAACACGTACAGTAAATCTGATCCATTAATATGAATACGAAAGTGCTGAACAATCAAAAAAATAGTGCAGTATACGTCATAACGCATACACCCTATGTACTGGCTATTGAATCATCGGAAATACGCAAAAATGTTTTGTAACATTATATAGCCTCACTATGTATTCTCTATCGCATCTATCACGGGGAGTATTCTGAGGAATTGTTTGGTTTGATCCCCGCCGCATCTTTTCGCCATCGTTCCATGCGAAAAATTTTTCATCCCCATCACAGGTTGACAGTCAACAACTGTGCGATTCACCCGAAACTTTCTGCCCCGCACAGCAAAACTTTGGAATGATCTTCCGGCGGCGGTATTCCCGAACCGATACGACTTACAAACCTTCAAGAAACGAGCATATTCCTTCTTAAAAGGCCGGCAACGCACCTGTGACTCCTCTGGTGTTGCGGATGTCCATGGGCGGCGCCGATCGCTTACCATCAGGTGATCCGTCTGCTCGTTTGCCACCTATTCCATAAAAAAAATTTTTCTCGCCAAGTAGATGACAAAGCCATCACTATATTCAAGTTAACTTTCGTATTGTTTATTTATTTATTTATTTATTAAAGCTACGTGCTTTTGTACACGCATGTGGTCTCTACCAGTATGTGACCTTTATGTGATACACACATCATCAGCCTAAAACTGTCCACAGCTGAGCAAAGGCCTCTTTTCTCACGAAGGAGGTTTGAGCATTTGGCAATCACCACGCTTGCTCAAGGCGGATTAGCAATATGAAACGAATAATTCGAAATTCGTTTTCTTTCACTGTATGTCAGTGATGTCTAAATAATGAAAGTTCACGTAACTAGGAAAACGTCACATTAATACTTTTACCTTGGTTTTGACCCCCTCTTGCATGAGAAGCGGTCGTCCTATCCTATACACCAGGCCATCGCAACTATGCCATGGGTGATACAGATAAATGTAAACTGTGGATGCAAAGAGCAATCAGTGAATATTACTAATTAGAAAACTTTTTATAGAATTGTAAAAGACTTGGTAATGTAAAACTACTTAAAAATGTTCACAACTTGTGATAATTCGCTTGTACATACTTTTTCTCTATTAATGGTGACTTTCCGGAAAACTCTTCTTTCCTAGGGTGAGGCGAGAGGGAATGAAGTCTTACTGACTAAACTCCTCCCCGTTCCATCTGCTGGTTGGCAATGACTATCCGCGGAAACCACTCTCAAGACACACTTCAAGAAACAAAATTTTACCATTATACATTTCGCATATTGGTTGAAACAAAAAACATTATGTAAGTGAGTGGTACCGTGGGCACAGCTAGTCAACAATATACAATATCCGTTTATACATAATCAGAAGGTTAAGGATCGTATATCCTTAATGGATCCTCATCCAAGGTGGACTCGACAAGATGTCAACTATGACATGAATAGACAATAGCCCATTAAGGAACTGAAGCAGGGCAAAGGGTTACATACACATACCCGATAAGATACATTTCAATACTTCCATTAAATACACTAGCTATGCCTGCGACTTTGCTTAGTTAACCAATTTTCTGTAAGTAGTAAAAATTTGTTTCAACCTTACAAAGTATCGCGTAATCTTTGTAAGATAATAACTATACTACTAAATCATTTATCGGGTCTCAAACCACATACATATACCTATATATAGTTGTTTTGTTTTTAACTCAGAAAGATACGGTATTAATAAGACAGATGGCGACCTTGGGATTTAAATGCACAGTTCCCAAATTCAGAGGTTTTCTGGTATAAAATCATAATCATACACCCTCAGAATACAGAACAAACTACACCCTTTACCAAACTATCGTTCTACCAAATTTTACCTAAATATGCAAAGTTAGGTCAAAATATAAGAAATCTCGGTGATCATTCCATGTCTTTCTTCTTTACGAGTATATATACATATCAAAGTCAAAGTCAAAGTCAAATTTCACCTAAATTACTTCTGTTTCCAAGCTGGTATGAGCGATAGAGAACTTTGGAATTTATAATATTACAATAATTACGGTAAGTATGCAGTGTGGATTAAGTTCTATGATCTGTACGCACCTTAATATGTACATTCTGCATACTACGCTTCCATAAATTGCTTTGAGGTTGAGTACCTAGTAGCTTATCGCTTTCCTTTGTACAAAGCACAATGTTCCCATATAATCCTTATTAATTTTCAATTTGTTCCCTTGTGGAACATCGCGATGATTTTTCAAAGGGTTGCAGATAAACTAAAGTATGTTTTAATGAAATGGGATCTTACGATGGAAATTTTTCTCGTGCGGGAGCAATGTAATATCATTATTCACAATTCCCTTTTTATTGGTACCTTGATTAATATACTTAGCTCTATCTATGTTATGCTTTGGTTGGGTATAAGTATAAGTAATAAGCAAAAGTTATAAATGCATAACTTTCGTCATATCGAAGTAATTTTAAATGAAAAAAATATGATGTCACAATGATATTTGCCAGTTTTTTATAATAACTATCGTGAGACATACTAAATTAACTAGGTAGGATGCGCGACGTCGCCGTGTCCGCGCACGCTGCTCATGAGGAAGAACCCCTCTGTGGTTCGAAACTAGTAGAGCTTTTCTCAAAAACAAACGTGAGTAACCCGCGATTTTTAGTTAATATTTGCCAGGCTTTAAACGTCAACCGTTTCAACCATCGGGCTACCCCATGGCTACCCAAACGTTTAAAATAAGAGAGCAATTTTTATTGCACTGAATTCTAGATTGGCCACGTGTTCATCTGACACCGGCCTACCTACCTATTCTTGAATATAAGGCGGATGATATTAATGGATATTTACTGGTCAGACACCTTATAGAATCTTGTGCAATAAAATAAACAATTAATTGTACTATCGTAAGACAAAAGGGTTAAGATAAAACATGATTGTGGAATATAATAATATAGATACATAAATTTGGAAGAGCATGGTACGGCACGAATGGGCCAGCTCGACCTGAGCCTACCGGACAAAGATAACTGACAAAAAAATCTGTTTTAACGTATTCTTTTACAAATTTTATGCACCACCACCATACCATTTCGTTTAGAACATCATCCTGTGTACTCTCCCCCCCTCTAATAATCAGAAGTAACTAGATAAACTAAAGTACAGAAATCAAATATAATTTATAGCACACAGGAACCTTGTAACTAACCATCAGTGAAAGAATTTTAGAAATCCGACCAGCGGTCCCATTTATTACCCCCTACATACAAACTTACAAATTTTACCTCTTAATAGTATTAGTATAGATGACAAAAGGAAGACAAAGAGCAAATTCAATGAAAGGGAAACAAAAGAAAAGAGTTACTTAACCTTTCCGGCGTTGAATATCTGTATCAAATGACAAAGGATGGTGGACTGTTTTGTAATAAACCTGCACTGATAATACAAGCAAAAGAGTTTTAAAGTATTTCACCATATTTGTTAAAAACTAAAATGACTGAAACGAAATGGTTTATTCATAATTTGGGATAGAGTAATAGCATAGTAAACATTACGTTGCATACTTTTGTTAACTCAAGGAGGTTCAATCAAATAGATTTTTTTATGGTATGCTGTTTTTATCCGTTTAATACGTGGGCACATCCTAAACAACAAGTTGGACCACCTTCGTAAGTTGTAAATGAAAAAAATGTGGCTTACGTTGTTAATATTTTTTTGTGTTCAAAATTACACTTAATATATTTATTTCTATTCTGATTTTCTGTTCCTTCAGATAAGTCATAATTACATCTTATCTTAGCAAATACTAAAAATTATATTTTTTGCATTAGGCTGCGCTTGTACCTTATAAAACCATGAAAATGTTCGTTTCTGTTGCCTTTGATTCAAATAAGTAAAGTAATGTTTACGTGTGGGAGATCCAAGCTTCGGCGGCAGCGAGTTATACCACAGTCTCAAAGAAAACCGGCGTAAAATAATCACAGCTTAGCACACTCTCAGGGCGAAACAGCCGTGAGAGTTAGGTTACCAGAGGCCTAAACTTTCTTCTCCTTTTTTAAATCCTTAAAGTGCAGCAATTCAAGCCATATCAAAGTATATGTGACAGACAAATTTCTGTATATTGGCTGTCCAGTCATATGAAAAAGCGAGTCCAGGTAATGAATGTGTAAAACATCACCAATTTAATAAATTCAGATAGCTCACTTTAAATAATGTGAAACAGACATTAACGATTGCACGATTGGGCACAGAAAAAATCAGCACCGGAAAACGGCTACAACTGACAATAAAATTAATTAATGATGGGTAAAATAACGAGACCTTGTTTTTACCTGAATTGAAACAATTTTATTTACTTCACATGTCGATAGTCCAAAGAGCCAACAGACCACAGACAGGACCCTACAGGGCTGATGTTCAGCCGGGGTTGCGGGGTGATTAGGCACCGCGGCCACGGCCTAGGGTGGGAGAAGGAGCGACGGGGTTTTTAGCCAGTAAGAGTCTTAAACTCTCTCTCACCTTAACCTGGGCGGGAGAAGTCATTTGATGATTTTTACCCTGACAAAAAAAAAGTGTCGATAGTCCTACGGTAAATAAAACATGAATGTCTCAGAAAACACACATATTTAGACGTCTTTTTTTCTTTATTGTTAAAATTCTAAGTTGCACTTTACAAAAAGGTTTTTACATGTGTAAATATTGGCTCCTTACTTGTAGGTGTTACTATGTTTATTATTCTTATACGCTCTAATTGATTGACCGATTGGGATGAGATATGAAACAGAAATCGTAAAATGAATAGAGAAAAATGTTACTTATTCCTTATAATATCAAGTCATAAATCATCATTATATTATGCACTTAGAAAATATAACTGACTGATACTATGATTTATTTGTTCCTGAGATCCGAAGACTATGCAAATGAAGTTAATTTTATAAACTAGGACATCGATAGGATAGTGGAGTAGAGTAGTCGGGAAGTAAATGCGGTATCTAATAATTGATTATCTGATAATAATAATTGATTAGCTTAATGAGCGCGTCTATGAAGCGAAAAAAAAGATAGAGTTAGTTTATTAGTGAGCCAACAAACCACTGCAGGGGGCCCGATAGAGTAATAGAAGCTTCCCAGTACATTCATTGTCTTTGCCTACCCTTATGGGGTACGGGCATGATATGAACATAGTTAAAAACCCACACAGTTTCTCTAAAAAGCACTAGATTCTTGAAAGATAGTTAGCTATAAGGGTAACGTAATTAAAACATTTTGTTAAAAAAATATGCTTTTGCCCCGTCGCCTATCTCACAAAGGGACTTAAAATACAAATTTAACACAAAACATTAGCCGTGCAAGGTTGGTGCGATTCGCTATTAAAATATATGTCATATGACAAAGTATATAAGTATAAAATTTAAATTTGTACGAAGAACTATAAACATAAGTAAAAAGCAACGAATCATTGTCACACAGTACCCGTACGAGTTGCACAAAAAATAAAGTTTATGCGTCGCTCTTCTCGGCCCTTTCTGGCGTAGGCGCCTGGGAGTGCTACGAGAAATACGTAGCACGCAAATATGACTACGTGTGTTACGAACACCTCGTAGCAATCGTAGCAAAGTTTTTAAAACTTCATACAAATGATTCAGATATGTGAATAACTTATTCGAAGAACTGTAATTTATAAAATTTTTACGCTAGTTAGTAGAGTTTGTTTAATTCTACTTTTGTGTTTGTTATACTAAATAAAGTTAGAATAAATCATTAACTAAGTTATGATTTTGTATTTAATCGTAGGAAGACATATTGAATAAAACTCGAGTGTCAGTTAGTATAAAAGATTCAACTAAAATAGTGGAGTGGAGGTTGCGGATGGAAATACAATATTATAATGCGATCCTACCTCAAACTATGAAATGAAACAGCATGGTTTTAAGTCAGTAAGATTCTTTCTACTCCTAGGACGGGAAATATAACTTGATCATCATACCCCTTACTTAAGAAATCAATCTTAACGCTCTTATCGGGGTTGGGTTTAGCCACCGTAAGCTACCGTGGTCCTCACACAGTGTGGGAGAGCCATCCTTCGGCACGAATAGGGCGCCTGGAATGAAAACCGGTGTGAAACATCCACAGGGTTGTGTTTCGCCGTATGATTGAGGTAACGGCGGCCCAAATCTTGCCCTCGCCCAATCCCTCCCCAATCCATAATCGCCAAATGGTTGCCAACGCTCCGATCCTCTGTTCTTGCGGGTATCCATGGGCGGCGTCGAACGCTTTCCATCACCTATCACATAAAAAATGACGCCTCACGCACGGTAGTACCAGAGTTTTCAGAATTCTTGAATCAAACTTTCTCGAGAAATATGATCATTTAATGTGATAATAACATGCATTCTGTATCCGGAAAGCGAACTATCTGATAAATGTTTATTTTACAATAAAATGCATCGATCCTTGGAGTAATTCCATCCAAAAATTAGTATTTCCGCCGTCGGTAAACTTCCTACCGTTCTCGCATGCGGTAAAAAAAAACCGATACAACCCTTAAATCTTTGAAACATGAACTGTCTCGTCATCAAAAAAACGATATTTTTGGAGTGCATTTATCTCATGGCAAAAATGAAAGTAAGAAGTTCGTTCAGATCAGATTGATGCACTCTGATAAAAATAATAATAATAATTTGGATGGATGATCAAGGGCCTCATACAGAAGGCAATCCTCCTTGAAACGGCACGTACTGTGAGGAGATTTCTGTCTCTGGAACCCTAACCGCCGGTGGCTTGGACCTTGCTCCCGCTACCGGCTGACTGCATTTTTACAAAATATTATTTTACTGTTTTTTTATAGGCATATTTAAAAATGTAATGTAGATTTATTAAAATAAATACCTATGTAAATAATAATTTTACAAACGTTTTCAATTATTGTATAACAATTTTCGAATTTAATGATGTTTTATTTATTGTAATTTTATTTAACGATTTATAAAAAAAAATTCTTAGTTAACGATCATGTTCGTAATATTAAAAAAGAACAAAAAGATGAATAGAATAAATAAATAATAATAATTTAAGACTAAAAAGGATTTTTTAAGAAATATACTTGATGATATGACACTTAGGTATGTAGATGAATAAGTGAAGGATTTAATAAGCGGAAAATAAGTCACAAAACATACTAATTAAAAACAAGATGGCTACAACAATATTAAAAAAGTAAGTATATGAAAGCGCAAAAAATATTTAAAAAAAGAACAATAAATGAACATATTATTATGTCAATTTGCCTCAAGGTGCGTATTTTTGGATTGTTTAGTTGATACTTCTATAACTTTGGTAAATCTTCAAAAACATACATTGTTTTGTTAAACATAATGTAGGCATTGAGTTGTGTAGGTAGATATCGATCGAAGCTATCATATTACACACTATGACGTACTATTTACTTGTTACCTTGTATATCTGTACCTGCATCAGTGGGCTGCGAGGAGGTCAAACGGGCGGTACCAAGAGAGAGATAGCAAGATCTCTCCGTTACATTTATTCTTATATACTTTACATAAGGGTTGGTTCACGATGACGAAAAAAATATTTATTGAATTTTCGTCTTCGGAAAATAATCTAAACATCAGATTGGGTCCTATCTTACTCTACTCAAAGAGACTACTTGCCAAAGAAATTTTTGACTTAAAAATACGTCACCCGTTAAAGTTTCAAGCCAGCCTGGTGATAAATAGCTTGGATCACAAGGCTTTTAAATGCAAAGCCATGATTCTGTACATTAGGCATGCCAAAGGTCAGCGACCAATTTTTAAAATTCTCAGTAAAGTACTAATTAAGTTTTCATCCACCCACAAACCGCTAGCAAATCATTAATTATAGGCTTTTACGAGGTATTGCATATCCACGACGATAATAAAATATATGTAATAAAGAGCAAGTATTAGTAGTATAACATAAAAGGTGATTGATTGAAAGTAATCAGATCTGATCATTTAAAGTCCTCAAAAAACATAGAGATAAAAATCAACGATCTACACGATCTTAAAGGTCCACTTATCTTTGCATTTTAGGAAGGAACAAGGCCTGAAATCAGACAAAATTTGGACCAATCTCAGTAAAAAAGGGGACACAGTTGCTTAGCTCAAATATTGAGAATGTTTTGAAAGAACGGGTGTAAGAATATGACGTAAAATGGCATTACATACTTTTTATTATTCAAACTTCTTATTAACTACTAGCTACCCGCCCAACCTCGGGAGAATGTGTCAGTTTTTTTTTTAAACCAAACAAACTAGCATACGCCTAGTTATAAAGAACAAGCAAAAAAGAATTAAACGTTTCAATCGAGCACTCCGATACTAATGCGATCACATAATGTATTAAATATGATTTAGTCTTTTTTAAATTAGTACTTGCCTTAAAACTAAAACTTTAGATATTGACTGTAAGTATATTCTTCTAAATATTTTATTTCTATGTATACTCGTAGATAAGGTCGATAATTAGGTAAGTAATTGAAATAACACAGTATTATTTTATCTTCTTTAACTGATTTGTGGAATAAAGAACATCCTTTGCATTAGATAGTGTAGAAATCATAAGATTATTTTTGATGGAACTGAAGTGTGGCTATTGAAAGGTAAATGGAGAGGAACCTTAAATGACGTCGATTTTCTGCTTTTGGGCTGCTGTGATTCACTCTAACATGCACTCAGCGTTGGTGCTTTATGATCACGAAGGTTGATGATGAAGCTGCAAGGATACTGTAATACTTATTGCAAAATAAAATTACGTTAACATAAGTTCAGCCCAAGTAGAAGGTCAAATAGCCGGTGTTGCGGATAAAGAGCTAGGAAAGGGATGGTTTTTAGTCAGATTATATCATTTCCTTTCGCCCAACCCAGGGCTATAGATATCATTTGATGATGAATGGCCATCAAAAACAACCTCGTTGGATATTTTGTGGTAGGTGATAACAAGGATCTGATAGTTATGGAGTATACTTATTTGATTAAGCGACACAGACAGGCCGAGTTAGGTGATTCTTGTGTAACTGTTTCTGATTGGTGATAAGTGATAGTAGTAGATAAGGCTATTTGAATAAGCAACTTTGAAACCCCATTATCCACTAACATAACGCTAAAAATCTATCAAATCTTATCCACTACTTTTATTATTTATACGGATGATACGAATCAGTAACAACAATGTTTACGGATTGCATAGCCTAAAGTACACTTGTCTACAAAGAGTTCAGACGCAAGCTGTGAATGCTATGCTTAAGCATAGCATTCACAGGAACCTCCTTATTTGATCCGCTTGTAAAAGGCTTCCAAAACTCACTCACACTTAAATTTCATCAACACTTACAACAAATATCATTATATCGATATAAATAACTGAATATATTATCATTAAACATTTATGAGTCCGAAAACATATCATCTACTTGCATGAATAATCATCATCATCATCATCATCAAAATGTGTCAACAAAGGAAAATAACAGTTATTGTAAAACGGTAAGTTCCTAATATTTAGTAAAACTTGCAATATTTTATTAGTCTTTACTTTATTTGAACACAAATTTATTTCTTTATTAGATTAATTGGTAATGTATTGTTCAATTGATTTTAAAAATAGATTAGTTATTGAGTGAGTGCTGTTTAAAAAATATAAAATAGTATATAGTAAAAAAACCCGTTTTCCAATTTATTCATGATCAAATAGGTACTAATATAAGAACTAAAATAAAACAAAATAATAATAAAAGTAACAAAATATAAATTAAATTACCAAACGGAGGACCAAAGATTGGATATCAAAAGATTTCGGAGATGGACTACGCATTATGTACAATTTAGACCCAAAGTTCTGACATATTTACAAAATAATTTTCTAGTCGACTTAAATTGCATTTAAAATATTTTCGACAAAATAATGGTCCGTGTAACCGAGCCTTTAATAAAATAGTAATGGTAGCATGTAAGGTAGGCGGAGCTAGTGAAAAGGCGGGCTCGGATAGAGAGAATGCATTGGATGGATGTAAATACAAATATCCTTTAAATATATAAATTAAACTACTTCATCTCTAGCCAGTGCCTGTCCAGTCCTCAGTTCGTTGTGGACCTCCGCCGAGCTCACTCGTGAAGAAACCACCAGAACCTGGAAGTGACTTCAAGAATACAAGTGGAAATCAACATAGAAGAAAAAAGTGACTTCAAGTGTAATATCTTGAGTCTAAAACTTACAAGTCAAAAGTTAATTTGTCGAACATTTCCTTGAGGGACAAGGACTTAATATTTACTCAGTTTTTTCGTGTTAATAGTATCGAAGTAAATTTAACCAAAATGTATGACCCTGAAGCTGACACGATGGGCGCTGCGGACCCGTAAGTATTTTTTTGTTTTTTTTTTTTATTTACTATTTCTACTGATTAATGAAAAGTGTTTTATTAATATATTTCATTTGGTTTTGTCTCAGGTTCGGCTTGATTGGACAGATAATGATGGCATGTTTGTCTGGCTGTAAGTAATTTTTCATTATTTTTAATTTATAACTCCTCCATATTAAAGATTCTTTGTAGATCAATTAGGCGCAGTTGCGAAAATTCAGCAAGAAGCCTAGGGTTCGATTCCCGGGCCTAAACAAGATTAGATTTTTTCTGTGTATTAAAATGGGACGCATATAACATAACTAGTGAAAACTAAATTTTACATCTTCCAAAACTTTACTATATTTTAAAGGTAAAGTTTGTTGAGTATTGCACATAAATCCGTAACTCAAAATAATTGTGTGCAATACATAAGACATTATTCCATGCAGGAATGCAACCTGCAATACGTTGCCCCACAACTTCAATGCCAACCACTGCGCCGTTTATGTATGTGGAAAATGAATCAAATTACTGTTTCTCAAAACTTGTACGGATTCGTAAAATACCAGTAAGAACTTACATTTGTAATTTAAATAATATTTAAATCACATATTATAACGCTTAAAATGACCCATCGACAATTTCTTACACGTTACAGAAAAAAATAATAGTATTTCAACTACCAATTTGACGAAATTATTAAAACTTTGCGCGTTGATTACGTGTGTTACGAAAAAAAAGCTACAGCGCGGCTTTTGGTTCAGCTACCTGAAAGTATTTTCCAAAGAAAAACTACTAAATTTCACTCATTGTTTTCCCGTTATCAGCAAACCTGATAGCAAATTACGGTTTAAATTAACGCATATCTATGCGCAATTTAGTAAGTACTAAATATTTATAGTGCTTAGATTTTCTCTAATCTAGAATACGGATCTATATACTTAAAACTATTTATAAATAAATTAGGAACATGTCAGACAAGGATCTAAAGCTTAAATGTTGAAACAAATACGCAACACAAATAAACAAATAAACATACCAATAGCTGTATAATTATATATCGTTCTCTTGTTTGACGGGATTAACAAAGTAAATCTTACGAGCCGTTCTTGAAATTAAAATTTAACGTTTTCTGCATGGGTGGCGCAGTGGCTGACCGACTGTCTCTTGCGCATCGTACCAACTCTTTGTGCGTTCCAAAAATTTTTGTTCCTTGTTTCCTTTTTCCGTTATATTTGTTGGCACCTACGACACTGGAAGGAAATACCAGTTGGGGGCAATGTTTTAATAAAAAAACAAATCATGGACGAAACACACATAATAAATGTGGGAGAGCCATGCTTCGGCACGAATGGGTCGGCTCGCCAGAAAACCGCCGTGAAACAACCACAGCGTTGTGTTTCGCCGTGCGAGTGGGGTTACCGGAGGCCTGATCCTTTCCCTCCCCTAATCCCTAAATGTCCAAATCTGTAATCGTTTACCGACCTATCACATAAAAAACACACACACATGAAATATTATCCCATGGATGGATACATGAAATATGTATATATTTCCCTAATTATTATTCTATCATTAGTTGTTTTCATTCCGCATAGTTTTTCGGAAGATGTAAAACCAAATTTTCACTAATTACGTTTACACATACATTACATTTTTATGTAAAATGTTTCGTATATTAATATGTTTATCTATTATAAAATAATTCTTCTGAATTTTCTGTGCAACAAATCATAAAGTCTGTTGAAAAAAGTTCTAAAAAAATCATAGTAAAGTAGTTGGTAATACATAGTATACAGTATGGAGAGTTATATGATATATCTGTGGTTGTAAATATTTTATAATTCATGAATTATTTTCAACAGCAACCCTTCCTTTATCCTCTTCCTGGTCACAAGGTCAATACAACAGCAGAGGAGAAAGCGGAGTTGATTTCGGCGACCCGGTACCCGTAGCTGCGCAACCCAGACGGATTACAAATGTAAATATACCCAGAGTACAACAAGAAGATTCGAATCCATCGGATAATACAATTAATTCATCCCTTTGGGATTGTTGTTGTCCACCGTGGTGTAACTACGCAAGCAAAGCGAGTGAAAAAATGGAGAACACTACAGTAGAACTAGATCCCATAAATTTAGAAAATGAAAACCTCGTTTATGATTCTGATTCTTGTATAGCCCCACCTCCGACACCCGTAGAAGAATTTGCATCAGAATATGAAAGTGAAAGTCAGCAACATAGCAATTATATCTATTATCTCCCTCCTTCGAGAGACAAAAACGACGGCAAAAATTACTCAAAGGTAATCATAGTCCCAGTTCAGGTACACCAAAGTGGCCGATCAATAAAAAATAGAAGGGGTGCTATGTGCCTTATCCATTTAAAAAATGAAGAACATAAAAGTACTGAGGCTGAATCAACTGTATAAAAATATATTTTTAAATATTTCCTGATATAATGAAATATACTTTTAAATAAGCCTGTGTAAAAATATTGCTTCTTAGTTTTTTAATAGGTCTATATATAATAAATAAGAAATGTTTTATATTTAAGAAAATTATACCTATCTAAGCTCCTCTGCTACTCATACCTTCTACGTCTGTGTTCAGATCAAAGGTTGACTAACATACTGGAAAATAAATGAATGTACGTTTCATATTTAAAATTTTTGAGAGTACCAATACCCCAACTTGTTGTTCAATGGCATAGTTAGCCTAACAAATGGACCACAGCATAATTGCGACCACCAAAAACAAATTCATTAAAATTACTAACTTATTTTACTATATTGTAGATAATATACCTAAAGTCTTACATCTTAAGTTAATGTAGTTTCTAGTCGAAGCCTGTAAAATAAACTAAATACTCAAGCTTATTCAATCGTTAGCATATTAGATTTTATATTGTGATTAAAAAAATATAATCTAGAATAGAGAGATCTTATAGTTTAAACTAGATAATAAAAAATATGTTATCCATTATATTAGTATATGTGTTGTTTTTGATGTTAGATTGTAATTGAGAAAGTATAATAAATGTTGATGAATTAAACATATTATGAATGCTTACAGTAACTTTTATTTTTAACACAACAAACCCGAATAAAACGAAAATTCAGCGTTGGCTTTTGCGAATATTATACCTAAAAGTAAGGGTGATATTTTTTTTCATTAGTTCTGTTTTATTTTTTCTATTACCAGGAGTACCAACACTGGCCCACTAGAGCATTTTCGGAGCAACTTTTTTCAATAACTGCGGGCACTAGTTTGATGAACATCCAAGACCCATCTCATCCAAAGACTAGTTCTGTCACACCCAGTGCTTCCATCAGCCGCCGAAATTCAATCATCAAGGAACCGCAGAAACATACGCATGGGAAGAATGAATCCTTTAGAGGATCATGAACGTAAAATCATTATAGAATTTTGCCATCTCCTGGAAAAATCTAAACAACTGTTCAATGGTTTACGGTGAGTGATCAACTGAAATGAACTAAAATCATACAATTTACTACTAGGCTGTACTTATATATACCACGTCCTTCAAATAATGAATGACCTTTTAATCTCTGCCTAAGTAAGCAGAAGTGCTCATGCGCATTATCAACCAGTTTGTTTTTGAGTCCCGTATAAAAAGGGAAATCACAGGTTTGATAATATAAGGAGATAGTCCCAACCGGTGGGCAACTTTACAATAAGTGAAATTAAACTCACAACACATTACGATTCATATTTATCATAATTCCTATTGCATTGCGGCTGTGCTTAACTTTCATAGAACTTCTATAATGGCAACGCGTGATAAGAATTGTGTAATTTAAGCTAAACTTTTACCAATGCAGTTTTGTTATTACACTCAAGCATTGCGAGATTCCACCCAAAAATAATGCTAGACAAAGCAAAGTGCCCGCACCTATTTGATAAAATTAATTGCAATGGCGATCCATAATGATTATTATATGAAAGCAAGCCTTTTAGCAGATTATAAGTGTTAAAATTGTTGTAAAAGTACATTAATAGCTTTGCGATTATCATACTTTCTACAAACTAAGCGATTTATTAGATCTCCTTATATTGTTAAAGCTGTGTGGGTGAGCCTTTTAGCCATGGCATGTAAAGAGCGCCAAATTTCGTACTTGCTCTTCGTAAATTTGAATACACACCTACTGGTAATAATTCGTATTAGGGCGTTAGGACTTTTTCTAAAATAAAGTCAAACTCAAGAGTGTTTCTTACTTGGCGCTTGCGCCTCAAGGAAACCGAAACAAGTGAACCTAACCTCTGCTATATAATAATATAAATATTATGATTATGAGACACAATACAAAATACATTATACTAGTATCTATCCTAGAACTTCTTAAATAAAATAAAACAAAATTGCGACAAATAGGTGTTTTAGGTAAATGAGTTTTAAGGGATGTACAGTAAGACTGTGTGTAAAAGATATTATCATCAACATAATCGTCGGCTTTCCCTTCTCACAAAGAAGTGGGAAAACCTGAGCTGCACTGTCCGCTCATCTCATAAGAGCCTGTCCTGAACTGACTACCACAAGATCATTGGAGGTCAAATGATTTCAAAATGTAAATAACACATATCTTACGTTGAACATCGGAGACACATTACACATGTCCTATCGGAGCTTAGCTAATCTTCAAATTGGCAGAATTACATTCTTTTGACGAGCTGATATTCTCTCTAGGCATATTAAATATGCAACTTTGAAAACACGAAGAACAATAAATATTTTGTAATAAACAATTCAATTTAATTACTTGAATACTAGCTAAATTTATTAGATCTACAATCATTTGCTGTTAACGGGCCGTAGCTCGATCCCCGATGCCCGGAATGTCGCCTACTGCGGCTGGGTGTGACAAGCATAGTTACCTCACGCACTACGTTTCCTTCTTTGCGAGCATACAGCTTTGCGCAAAGAGGACACGGCTTCCCAGTTCCTCTCGATCCGCACCATGACCTTGACGCGTCCAGCCTTAGGACGCGACAGGTTGAAGCTACCGAACACTTCCCTGAGAACACTATACAGAGCGGTTCTCAGTCCAAGCAAGGCACACCGCCACCTTATGCCCCACTATGTCCTACGGGTGGGCCTCACAATGCCAACATCTGGGCGTGTCAAAGTGTCGGATTCCAAGTAGGTACCTACCGAAGCTTTAAGCACTGGCGTCAGGTGAGAACCCCATGACGTCTCTCTAGTCACTCACTTACCGCTGTTATTACAGCGTGCCCGGCTCTCGGCTGCCGCATATAATCGTACCGGAGCTTATTTCCACACGCACTAATTTGACACGGCAGTGGAGTTAGGCCTTGACGACGCCACTTAACGCGCAATCTGTCGACGTATGCGAACGCCTTCGCCTCCAGAGCCCATGGCGACAATGCGGTAAGGAGGAGGCCGTGACAATAGTTATGACCCTCTAAAACACCACCGGCGTACGAGCTGGTTTACAGGGGCCCATAGAGAGCCATAGATCGCATCAGGTCGGCCGCCTCCTGGTGCGACCTCCCGCTCGCTAGCACCAAAAGAGAGTGGCAAAGACTAAAGGAACAAAATAAGACATGACACAAGCCTATAGCTGGCTTAAATCCTAAAATTAATGATAGCTCATCGCCGTCATTACCTGGAGTTAGCTCGATAAACCTTTAATTGGCTGATACGCTTTAATAAGGGAGTCGTTTGGTTTTCTAATGAAACCAGGATCTGATTCCTTGATAAGGATGTAAAAGATACGACGTATAAACGTCTTGCTAAAAATTTGCTCAACGAGCTTGCGAGCGGACGGCGCGTAGCTTTCCGCGCGTGCCTCAAAGAGCCAATAGACCACAACAGACGGGGCTGATGTTCTGCCGGGGTTGCGGGTTAAGCGCAATAAGTTTAGTCACCGCGGCCGTCTGACACTCTCTCTCACCTTAATCTGGGCGGGAGAAATCATTTGATGATTTTAACATGCCAAAAAAGAAAAAGGCTTGTTTAATTTATAACATTTTGTTACACTATCATATAGATCATATAGATGGTAAGCAGTCAGCAACTGTGCGAAAATTGATTATTATTAATGTAATTCGATCTAATAAATTAAAAAAGACGCGAAAGTTTCTGCCTTGCCCAGGAAAACTTTGGAATGATCTTTCAGCGACGGTATTTACGAACTAATATGACCTTCAAACTTTCTCAAGAACATGTGTACTTCTTTCGTAAAGGATTTTTTGTTTTTTTTTTTGTGAGGGTAATTATCGTCAAAGGACTTCTGGGTGAAACGAGAGGAAGTGTCATACTCTTACTGACTAAAAACCCCCACGTTCCTTCTCTTGCACGGGGCCGAGGCCGAGGTGACTAATTGCGCTGAACCCGCAACTCCGGCTGAACATCAGCCCTATAAGTCCCCGTCTGTGGTGGCCTTTGGCTCTTTGAGGCACGCGCTTAACGCTACGCGCCGTACGCCCGGATCTGGTTCTGGTCGGGCGGCGAGCTACCCTTACTCGCCATCCGCAGACCCGCGCTTACGGTGGCCGGAGATCGTCTCTTGATTCGAAAATTCAGCATTCGAAAAGGCTGTCACCGCGCCTGTGACTCCTATGGTGTTACAGGTGTTCATGGGCCACGCTGATCAATTACCATCGGATTATTCCTACAAAAGAAGACCTAATCTTTATAAAATATAGCTAATAATTGGGTATTTTTCTAAATAATTTATTTCAACTTAGGAATATTATCCAATATTCAAAAGTCATAATGCTTCATTCATTGACTTGACTATATGCTAAAATTGGTTTTCAAATATATCAAACATTTTTAAGAAATAAAAAATAAGTAAGTAACTGAAATTCATTGGAAAACATCGTTTTGTCATTTTGATTTTTACTAGTTGTCAAATACTTAGGCTTAGTCTTCGATAGCCACGGCGACTTCATTAGGAGACTTGCGTTAGGCGGATGGATCAAGAACCTGATAGAGAATGTAATTCTCCTTAGAACGCACGAAGTGTGTTGAAAAACGTCGTATGATACCCTTGTGTATTGATGATTACCCTCCTTGGCTTCTTAAGGCCTTCGCCTGATCAATGCGCCTCAACGGTAATGCGCCTCAATTAACAACAACTTCCTTGTACCATATTGTACTATTAAACGAACAGTTATTTTGTAGTCGTATAGAAACTATACGTTACATGCCCCTTTTAACTCTTCCTTGTAAATTTAAGTTATTTGATCATGATAAAGGTACGCATTAGTATCGAATCGTTACAGTAGTTAACATGACTTTTTCTTATAAGTTTGTGTAAAAACCAATGCGGTGTAAATGCTCTTAAAGTTTTAGCTACAAAACAATAATAGGTTTAAATAACATTCAATTAAAGTTCAAAGTTCAGTGGACAATCGAGACGAAAAGCGCTAAGAAAGGAATAGTGCGGACACTTGTTACGTCTGCAACCAATTGGCCCACTTCGAGCGTGGAACTCATTAAGCAATTTCACAGTCTACCCACCAAATCAATTGATAAATGAGATTTTTTATAATTAATTGTCTCATCTATCTTGTCGTAAATCATCAAACAGGATTTCTTTCCTGTACCTTTTATTATAATGATACATGCATATGTGCTTAAAGCATAAATTCACGCCAAGCCAAATATTATTTTAAATACATAATATTTTATATTAATCAAAAAGTGTTACCTATAAATTGTAACTATAGGATAAATTAAATTTATATTTTATGCTAAACCCTATTTTTAACGTAATACAAAATATAGGGAGTCTGTGTGTGTATGTCTTGTAATATTATAACAAAACATAATTTTTAATTTAAAGCACATCATCAACATTATGTTTCTCAAACCACAAAGTTATAATGTATACTAGTATAAAAAGTCTTTATTTCCTATTTCCATTGCAGTGAGTTGCCACAATATGGGCACAAACAATGGCACTCGTATTTCGGAAAGACGTTTGACGTGTACACGAAGCTGTGGAAATTTCAACAGCAACACAGAGGGATTCTCGACAGTAAATATGGACTAAAGCGATGGCAAATTGGAGAAATCGCTTCGAAAATAGGACAACTTTACTATCACTTCTAGTGAGTATTTATCTGCAACCTTATTAACTTCCAATGATGTTTTTCTTATTGACATCATTTAATTCTTTTTCAGCTTAAGAACAAGTGATACAGCTTATCTAAGTGAAGCGTTTTCCTTCTACTTCGCCATCCGAGGCAGAAGCTATTACACGCAAGCGTCTAAAGAAGACAAATGTGAACTAATGGTAAAAAAACTTCGTTACTATGCCAGATTCATAGTCGCAAGCTTACTGCTAAAAAAAATGAAACTCGTGCGAGATTTACTAAATGAACTCGATAAACAAATTAGCGAATATGGCATTACTTACGAGCCTGATGATCAAAACGAATGGAGGATTGTTGCTGACGAAGTTAGAAGCTTCATTAAAGTCGAACCAGTGGTAACAGTTTACCATCCACAAGAATTCGTAGTTATACTGTCACATCGGTAAGTATTCAAAGTATTTCAACTAATCCATTAATAGGTACTTTTGAAACCTCAAAATAGAATAGAATAGTATTATAAATAGTCCCAAAATATAAATCAAAACTAAATCTGAAGTAAAATTTCAGGCTTAGTCCTCAAACGACGCCACCGATCGAGAGGACGTCAGCGATGACATTAATACTCCAAGAAGTGCTGATTGTGGGGAGTAATGCAACTCAATTGAAGTTTTCTGAACTGACAATGGACATGTATAGAATGATGCAGACTCTTGAACGAGAGCCCAATGGCGAGGCTCAGCATTTGTACGATGAGTCACCACGACAGCGTTGTGCGTCTACTCCAAGTGCTTTTAACAACAAAGGTGATTTACACATTATTCTTAAATAATTTTAATTTTGAAACTGCGAAATGTTATTGCTAGCGCCAGTGTAATTAAATTTATAAATCAAACTAGAACTTTTCCCTTGAAACATTTTATGTTGATCGGTTAGTCAGCTTAAAATACGTAGTTTGGGAAAGTACTGATAAACATTTGTAAATACGTTTTAAGTTTTTTAAACCTCGTGAATAGTGCGGGAAAATGTGTTGTGGAAGGCGCTTTGCTGGGCTTTGATGAAAAAAGCTTTTATTTCAAAGTAAAAAGAAACATTTTGAAGAAAACTTAAGACGAAATAAACACCAATAAAATTAAACATTCTGGTACTGACACGACTAAACTATTTAGAACAAATAAAAAATTTTAAAACAAATGCTAGCGATAAGTACGATAAACAACTTAATGATTAGAGGTTAAGGGTTTTTCGATCTGCAACTCTTATTATCATGAATGCCAAATACGTAGATTCCATTTGATTCCAAATGTCGCTACATCATTATCGCTGCAGCTCGCAGCAAGATATAACAAAATATACACCGAATTTCGAATCCAGTGATTAGGTCCATAAATATGTAAATTGTACACAATAACCTGCCTCAATAAATCGGGTACTGGTTGATTTGCAACTAGAAACAAAATTTGAATAGATTCGAAGCGTATATCAAAATACTTTTGTCATCACTAACCGAATCTGTAAGACAAGTTTTTTGAGTTGGGTATGTGTAGACAATTTGACACACCTTTATGTTTGTGCTCTCAAGAATGACAAATCAATCTTAAGTCTTTGTTCTATAGATGAGGGTACAAAGGCCAGAAATTTCTTAGCGTGGCTTGACCTGTCAATTCAAGCCAGAATTATACATATTTTATTTATTTATTCACATTTCACAATCAATATAAATGCATTGTGTAACAGTCGACCTTCAAATGGTGCAGAGATGTGAGTGCAATTTTGGTGCGGTTAAAAAAAAATTGCATAGTGTATCGTGTCTTTTGCTGTAAATGATTAAAAACCTGGGCGGCCTACTAAGACTCGCTACGTCACGATAGTATATTTCTGGCTCATTTTTTTGTATGACGTTTATGGTTACATGTCTGTGTAAACAATTTCTATTTTAAGATAGGTACATATAAAGACGTAAAATAGAAAGCTAGACATTACTTTCTATTCATAGATTTCTTAATTGGGCTTCTTGTTAGAAAAATAATACCTAGATCTGAAAATAGCGATTTCTAAGAAACTGCGAGCTTTGGTCTAACCGTTAAAAAGTTATCGAGTGATAATATTGGAGATTTATGCATCAATAAGTAAGATGGTATTTAAGATAATTTTTAATACTTATTTTTCATTCAAAATAGGAAAAACAGACACAGCTATAGAGATTGTTGTACACTTAACCGAAAAAATATTGAATTTCACTAGGTCGAAGTTTTTTTTAGATTTTTTTATCTACAATTTGTATCGAAATAAGCCATTGTATTTGCGAATTCTTTCTTTTACATAGTAAAAAACTTCTAATTGGTTTACGCTCGGCGCAATGGCTCTCTCTTACTCTCTCTCTTTGGCTATAAGTATTGGAAAGATCTCGACGGCGGTGTTAACGACATTGATGATGTTGATTAAATGTTTTTTTTCTATTCTTAAATAAGTACAATAAAAAATAATCCAGCCATTCTGGCTTTCAAATGCTAGTTTGCGACAGATCTGAGATTCCAATTTTCTAAATAAAAAATACTTATAAGTAATATTTATACACGTAACAATATTATTTATAAGCTGTTGTCCTATATTCTAATCAGAAAATTTAAAAATAAATGAAATTATCCTTCATCGCGAACCTGTTGTAACCACAGAGTAGAAATAACAGTGTCCAGTGCATACGTGACGTAAACCAATTAGTACCTATAACTATATATACAAAGATTGGAACCAAAAAGGCAGCTAAGCCTAAATACAATAATTGTTTTAGGCTATAACTTAGAATGCGGTTTAAATAAAAATGAGGGGCCGCATAAATACTTGCTGTTTAAGCCGTCACCGAATCAGGTCTTTGTGTACCTGGCCAGTGCTTGCGATGACCTGCTCTGTAATGGAGTTGTCCTGCTTTATATTTCTGCAGAAGGGCTGCTCGTTCCACCATCAAAAAATCATTGTGAAGAAGGTAAGTTAAAATGAATGATTGAAACTTAATCTAAATGTATTTGTGAATGTTTTTTTCAGAATGATATGTACGTATGAATAGACCTGATTCTAGTTGTAATTACAGGATTACAATTTTCGTCCGTCGCTAGCTTCGAACTCCTTAATATTAAGTACTCACACACGTATATATGTATATATGTGCAGCTACTACATCGCTTAAACAGAAATCCATTTTATTCTTCAAATACAGTTCGTTGTTGAAAGTGATGCCGATATTAGATTATTTAAATTAATCCTTTCTGACATTCAGCGAGCATACATTTCACAATAACCGTTGACAGTACTTTTGACCTGTCCCTGGAAGTTAAGTTAGCTAGGAGCAACTTACCTACGGTTCTAGACAGAAGTTGAGAACTAATCTGGGACTGTCACACGCAATATAAATTAATTTATTTTAATTGATCAAAGCTTATTCCACGTCTAGCTGGGATATTTCACCGTATTTATCATCATTAAGGGAAGGGGAGCTTCGCGTCGAATGGCGAAATAAAAAATGGTTGTGTTTATTGTTAACGATATAATTTTGAACATTTTAAACGTAAATACGAGTATTGTCAATAAATATTAACTAAAAATTTTACAATATATCTCGAAAACCCTTTGTTTAAGAAACAATCATGTGTAGCAGGAACGAGGCTCAAAACGATTTTTTTTACTAACTTTTAAATTTCACGCTTCATGTGACACCACATATAATTACACGGGTATTAACGCAACAAGTCAACTGGTCTGGTTTTTTGTGAGGGGAAAATCATCAAATGAGTTCTCCCGCCCAGGGTCGGGCGGGAGGGAGTGTCAGACTCTTACTGACTAAAAATGCCCCCGATCCTTTTACTGCTCTGGGCCGAGGTCGCGATGCCTCATCATTATCACGCTTACCCCGCAACCCTAGCTGAACATCAGCCCTATAAGGTGCCGTCTGTGGTGGTCTACTGGGTCTTTGAGCCACGCACGGAACGCTACGCGTCGTACGCTCGAGTCTGGTTCTGTTCGGACGGCGAGTTGCCTTTACTCGCCGAACGCAGACCCACGCTTACGGTGGCCGGAGATCGTCTCTCGATCCCCGATACCCGGAATGTCGCCTACTGCGGCGGCTGGGGCGCGAGGAGGATAGTTGTCTCACTCGCTTCGCCTCCTCCTTTGCAAGCATCACTACTTCGCAAAAAGGGAAAAAAGGGCTTCTCAGTTCCTCTCGCTACGAACCATGGCCTCGACTGAGGCCAGGCGTGACCACTTCCCCGAGGACACGGCGGTGCTCAGCCCAAAGAGGGCACACCGCCACTGTATACTCCACCGTGTCAAGTCAGCCTGCTTGCGACCACCACCTATGCAACCAGGTCGAAACGTCAAACGTACAAAGGTATTTAAATAATTATTTTTCGCGTTAATACCCGCGTATATATGTTGATCATAATTATATGTTGTTGTTTTTTTTATCTGCATTGCACATTTTTGTATTATGTTCAAGCTTCACTGATTCACTGGACTTAACTTTCGCAAAAAAACTTCATAAACAAATGAGTTATAAATAACTCTGTACTGTGACCTTGAAACATCATTTCCGGCGATTTTTATCCAAGCACGCCGAGAATACTACACTTAGAACAACTTTAGATTTCAAATGATTAGCAATAAGCGTTCTCGACCAACCGAATAAACTGTTGAGTATATCGCCAAATAAACAAAATTCACATTCATAAAGTTCTGACGACTGCAGCCTTCAGTATTTCTGAATCGATACAACCTTCGAGACTTAATAAAATAATCATACCCCCCTTTAATAAGCCTGCGCTTAACGCTCTGTTGTTGTTGCGAGTGTAATTTTAATAATATAAAAGTTGAACTACTCGTAACTGTACTTTGTATTTAAATAAAGATTATAATACAATAATATTAATAATGCGTTGTGCTTCGCCGTGTGTGTGAGGTTACCGGAGGCCGAATCCTTCCCCTCCCTCAATCTCTCCCCTATCGCATCTTCAAATCCCTAATCCCCAAAATGTCGGCAACGCACTCGTTACTCCTCTTTTGTTGCGAGTGTCCATTGGCGGCGCTGATCGCTTACCATTAGGTAATCCGTAAGCTCGCTTGCCGACCTATCACATAAAAAAAATATAATTAGGTACTACAAAAAATAATTTCTTAAAGGTTTTATTATCCTCATCCGAACGCGCAACTGTTCAAACAATTCAGGCAACTGAAAGTTCTTAGGAATTTTTGAAAAATTGGTCCCTATCGCTCACCAGCAATCCAACTAAAATACTGATGTTACTAAATGAATAATAGTTCTTTTACGCAAGAGGTCGGCAAACAAACTTGTTGCTTAATACTGAAGGAGTCACTACAGTAATGATGTCGACCTTTTTAAGGTGAGGATGTGGGGGAATTATCGGCCTCTGGTCACACGGCGAAACACAGCGTAGCAGTAGCGAAAGCAGTGATGTCACTCCGGTCGAGCCTGGTCATTCGCGCCTAAGCGTGGATCTCCTACACTTAATAGTATGCTCAACGCGGGGGCAATAATTTGTTTAAAAATGTTATTCGGAGAATCTCCCAGTTAGGGCGTAAAAACGCTGGACCTATTCTAACCAATTTAGGCTAAGAACTCACGGAGCGATTTTGAACCGTGCCCGCCGCGGAACTGCGGTTTTATTTCCAAACTCACGAGACCGGTTATTTGCGCGGTTACACAGCCGCCGCGGTTGCGATCATCGCCCGCAAACGTGGCGGGCGATGATCGCAAGATTGCAAGACGGGCGGTTAACGATCAGTTGAGGTCCAGACCGCCATGGACACACACCAGAAACGAGCCGTTGCGTTATATTTACTTCACAGAAGACCCGCCGGCCCCCGCGGTCGCTCGCCAACCGATCGCAAAGCGCGCGGGTGCCACCCGCCGAGGCTGCGGGTAACCGCGGCCCGCGCGATTCTACTAGTTGCCCGCCGGTACAGCGGGAGCCGCATACAACCGCGTACACCGCGGGCGTAAAACGCGTCGTGAAATGTGCTTTAATTTTTTATATAAATATTTGAATTCTACAGAAGCTGCGGGCCCGCAACCGCAGCGGACGCGGGCGAAAATCGCTCCGTGAGTTCTTAGCCTTAATTATCTAATTTGTTAATTTGTTAATGATATTGTTAAAGGATTTTGCAATTGGAAAACAGACTAAAGGATTATGAGACTTTTTAATTAGTATTGTTTCAATCAATTAGCATTATAGGAGATATAGCGGTGCCCACAATACGAAATCAATAATAACTTTATACTCCATCGAAACCGAGCAGTTCATTTCATATAATGTAATATTAATCCTATTAAAACAAGCTAGTTATACAAGATAATAACTAAATTAAACAATTCGATATTCATATTTTTGAAAACATCTGTCTATTTTAAAATATTTTTTAAATTTTTAAGTAATAGGCTTTAGTCTCATTCTTCTAAAAACATCCTGCCGGAACCCTAGTTACAATAATTAGCAAATGAGCTCACGTGACACCTGATGCAGCAGAGGAGTCACCGGTTAAAGGTCGTATCGGTTCGGAAATACAGACGCTGAAAGAAAATTCCAATGTTTTGCTGCGAGGCAGACAGTTACTGCTAAGGCCGTTTATGATTGGGCAGGGATGGGAAGGGAGAGAAAGACAATGACTATTTTTCATATCTTCTAATGGCCTAGTTATGTACATAGTGAATTTGTACTTTATTATTATTTATTTCCAACAGCAGGCGGCTACGACGTGGGAGGTTTGATCACGACGTCCAAAATTGACGTCCTTGGACGGGAAACGACTATAAAAGAGGGAAAATCAGCTCCTCCAAAGTATAAAGATCTGCAGGTTCTCCATCCAGGTGACCTGTATCCATTCACGCGTCGTCCCATGGTCATCATTGTGGATTCTGATAATTCTTTCATATTCAACGACATGCCTCGTTTGTTCGGGCAGCCGCTGATCATCCTGATGTCTCCGATGGAGTTACCTTCCAATCTCTATCGTAAGTATAGGTACAGTCGGTTGACCAAAACCCAGCTACCATTGGCAAATTTGAGAAAAAGACTCGAGGTGCGGTTTGGTTTTTGTAATGGCTAATGGTCTTGTCATTCATTGGCTTTCTAGGCAAAAGATATTTGAATATAAAAGTGATTGAAAGCCATAGCGCACACATTTCTTGTATTAGATCTAACTGATGCTCCGATCTCTTGAAGAGCCAGTTTAATAGGCATTAGGAGTAGGATTTTTTTATAATAAGTAACTAATATTAAGTTCATATTCGATCCCATTTAGGTTATAAGTCATTTCGTATTAGATCCACTTGTTAATCGACAGCTTCACTTCAATTGTCGACTAATGTAAGGCAATGAGAGAGAAACGTACGTAATGTTAAGTATCTTTATATGAAAGAGAAATATATACCAAAACGATATGTCGCAAGGATCTAATAAAAATTTTAGAAGTATTGTATAATTTAATTTTTCGAGCTAAATAATATTTCGACACTCGAGAAACATTTGTAAAAACTTTGTTTAACCACATTTTTGTTTTATTTTCGAAGTAGTATTTTTTACATCTCGCCTTTTTTAGAGTTTTTCAGAAATCTTATGTTATATATCTTCTTTCTTATTCTTGAGTATCTGTAATTATCTTCAAACACTAACAGTATTATATTGATCATGGAAAAAACAGAGTCATCACCTCCTCCACCACCTCCACCACCTCTGACTATGTGTTACATGTTTTAAATTTGTCGCCTTTTTCGACTACTATAGTGTAGCATAGATAATATGAAATGGTCTATGACCACCGTTCTATACTCTGTGCCTTTTGCGCTTGTCATCTTTCTCTTTGCAATACGCATCCATACAAACATGTTGTAAATTCTCAAGCTACTAAATAAAACTATTTATATCTTTCAAATCGTCGTTTAATTCATCAGGTTATGGGCCCAGGATGCTGAAACATTGAAAGATAAATTAAATTCCGTGAATAGTTTTGAGATTGCATATAACTCACTTTGCAAACCGGCCTGAAATCGATTTTTCTAGAAAATTATGGGTTCGAACAACATGAACAATATGACCCTGATAGAAAGATTGACCGGCAGAGATAATTTTGCAAGCTGGAAGTTCGCAGTCAAGACGTATTTGGAGCATGAGGATCTGTGGGAATGCGTATCAGGCACCGGTGAGGTCGATCTAAAGAAAGACGTCAAGGCGAAGTCAAAAATAATACTTCTAGTTGATCCCATCAACTATGTCCACGTTCAGGAAGCCAACAGTGCTAAAGAAGTATGGGAAAAGCTCTGTAAAGCTTTTGATGACTCGGGGCTGACACGTCGAGTTGGATTGCTACGAGACCTCATAACGACAACACTAGAAAATTGTCAAAGTATTGAAGAATACGTGAACAAGATCATGACTACGGCACACAAGCTTCGGAACATCGGGTTCAAGGTCGACGACGAGTGGCTAGGCACGTTGTTACTTGCGGGACTCCCTGATGAATACAAGCCAATGATTATGGCAATAGAAAGCTCCGGTGTGGCCATAACAGCAGACTCAATTAAAAGTAAACTGTTACAGGAAGTGAAAAATCGTGATCCAGGTGTATTCTTTGTAAACAAGAGCAAGAATAATAAGCAACCTATCAAACAAAAGTCAAAAGGGCCAAGATGTTATACTTGTAACAAGTACGGACACATCGGCAAAAACTGTAAAGTGAAGAATAACAAGAAACAAAGTGATAACTCTTTTGTAGCCGTTTTCTCAGCAACATCTAGCTATGATTTCGGATGGTATGTGGATTCAGGCGCAGCAATGCACATGACAATGAATAGGGCTTGGATTTATGATGAAAAACCACCACCAATCAAAACTATCCGAGTAGCCAACAACAAGGAGCTGCGAGTCGAGTCCTGTGGTAAGGTGAACATTCATGTTAAAAGCACAAACGGATCTACAAACAGAATACAGGTAACAAATGTCCTTTATGTACCAGAGTTATCAACCAATCTTCTCTCAGTCAGTAACATTGTGAATAATAAATGTAATGTAAAGTTTGACTGTAAAGGTTGTTATTTGTATAATAAAGATAATGTTGAAGTTGCAATGGCAACACTTGTTAATAATATGTACAAGCTGAATGTTGTCTCCGTGCAAGCATTTCTGTCAACAACTAATGATGACTTTTATCTCTGGCATCAGCGACTAGCTCATCTGAACTACAATGACATGAAGAAGCTGAAAGACCACACTGAGGGTGTGAAAATACCTCAGACCAGCGAGCTAACCTGCATACCGTGCATCAAAGGAAAACAGGCAAGGTCACCATTTCCAAGTGAAGGTTCCAGGGCAAGTCAACTGCTAGAAATCATTCACTCAGATATATGTGGACCTATGGAGGTGAACTCTCTCGGAAATGCAAGGTATTTTCTTACATTTACTGATGATTTTTCTAGGAAAGTGTGTGTCTTTACTATCAAATCAAAGTCAGAATGTCTAGATAAATTTAAGGAATATAAGTCATATGTTGAAATAGACTTAATACTAAAATTAAGACACTACGAACAGATAATGGAACTGAGTACACAAGTAAGAACTTTACTGATTATTTAAAGTTACATGGAATTAAACACCAAACATCAATCCCGTATACTCCACAACAAAATGGTCTCTCAGAGCGCATGAACAGAACTCTACTTGAAAAAGCCAGATGTATGTTAATAAATGCTAATTTACAGAAAAATTTATGGGCTGAAGCAGTTAGAACAGCTGCATACATCATCAATCGTTCACCGACGCGAGCTCTGAACTATAAGACACCAGAGGAAGTATGGAGTGGCTGTAAACCTGACTTGAGTCACATGAGGATATTTGGTTGCCAAGCTATGGTGCAGATACCTCAAGAAAAACTGAAGAAATGGGACGCCAAGTCAAGTAAGATGATTTTTGTAGGATATTGTGAAGATAGCAAAGGGTACAGGCTACTTGATCCTAAAACAAAAATAGTAACTAAAAGCAGAGATGTTGTGTTTCTGGAAAATTCCATAAAACCAGATACAGTACCAGTTACCTTATCTGATGCTGAAAGACAAGAACATGTAAGCAGTAAGAGACTGTCTGAAAGTAGTGACTGTAGTACAGATTTGTCTACTCATACTGCTGTGGAAATGAGTGAAAATGATGATGATGAGGAATATGTGCCCGAGCAGTCAATTGAAGTTCAGCAGCCCTCAACCATGACTCTCCGTCCACGTAACAGACCAATCCCAACCATGGAACCTAAATCATATATATGTATGGCCGATGTACCACAGACATATGAAGAAGCACTCTCCTCTGAAGACTCTGAAATGTGGATAAAGTCTATTAAAGAAGAATTGCAAGCTCATGAGGACAATGGTACTTGGGAGATTGTGAAGAAACCAGACAATGCGAGACTATTAGACTGTAAGTGGGTGTTTCGTGTGAAAAGTGAACCAACAGGTCCTAGGTACAAAGCCAGACTGTGTGCCAAAGGCTTTGCACAGAAAAATGGCATCGATTACACAGAAACATTCTCTCCGACGGTCAGGTATGACTCCATTCGCTTATTATTGTCTATTGCAGCCGAGAAATGCATGACTTTAAAGCAATTTGATATTAAAACTGCTTTCCTGTATGGTGAATTGCAAGAGAAAATATACATGAAAATCCCTGAAGGATTGAATGTTGAAAATGGCATGGCTTGCAAGCTTATCAAATCCTTATATGGATTGAAACAGGCACCACGCTGTTGGAATGCTAAATTTAATTCAGTTTTAATTAAATATGGCTTTGTGAACTGTCACGCTGATAAATGTGTGTATGTGAGTTCTAATAGAGAAGCTCTAGTATATCTTTTGCTTTATGTGGATGATGGATTGTTATGTTCTACAAATCCAACAATAATAACTGAAGTCCTGAATGATCTTCAGAAAGAATTTAATGTTAAGATTTGTGAAGCTTTGAATTTTATTGGTATACAGATAGAACAATGTAAGGATTACATTTTCATACACCAAAGAAAATATATTGAGAAAATGTTATCAAAATTTAACTTAGATAATGCTAACCCTAATAGTATACCAGCTGATCCGCATGTTACTTTACAGAAAAGCACAGTGCTTGAGGATAAAAAATATTTTCCTTACAGAGAGGCAGTGGGATCGCTTATGTTTGCTGCTATAGTCACCAGACCAGACATTATGTATGCAGTAAGCACTGTGAGCCGGTATCTCAACAGCCATGATCAAAGTCACTGGAATGCTGTCAAGAGAATCTTGAAGTACTTAAAAGGGACACTGTGTTTTGGACTCTGTTACAGGTCAAATGAAAGTAACACTCTGGTATCCTATTCTGATGCTGATTATGCCAATGATCCTGTGACAAGACGATCTACCACTGGATATGTTTTTATGAAGAACGGGGCAGCAGTGACATGGAACAGTCACCTTCAAACGACTGTCGCATTGTCCACCACTGAAGCAGAGTTTATGGCGTCATGCTGTGCCACCAAAGAAGCTCTCTGGGTTAGACAGTTATTGTTAGATATAGGTCATTATAATCAAGATTGTATTACACTAAATATTGATAATCAGAGTGCTATATGTGTGATTAAAAATTCTGAATATCACAAAAGATGTAAACATATTGATGTGAAATATAATTTTGTAAAAGAAAAGTATACTGAAAAGATAATTGATCTCAAGTATATTAGTACTGATAAACAGTTAGCTGATATCTTTACTAAACCTTTGTCTAAAGTTAAATTTGAGTACTTTAGAAATAAGTTAGGTTTAATTGAGAACCCAAAGGAATGTAAAACCTAAGAATATTTGTCTTTTATATTTCAGTTCATTTATGTTTGCAATTCAGTTGTTATGCTTGAAGCTCTGTTGATTTAGTTTAAAGTTTTGTATTGGGTTTAATACATACTGTAATCATTTGATTAATATGTACCCAATATAATATTGTGATAAGATGGCAGTATGCACAAAATATGTTTCTCTATGTATGTAAAGTTAGTAGAACAAGGCTAAAATTTAGAGGGAGTGTTACATGTTTTAAATTTGTCGCCTTTTTCGACTACTATAGTGTAGCATAGATAATATGAAATGGTCTATGACCACCGTTCTATACTCTGTGCCTTTTGCGCTTGTCATCTTTCTCTTTGCAATACGCATCCATACAAACATGTTGTAAATTCTCAAGCTACTAAATAAAACTATTTATATCTTTCAAATCGTCGTTTAATTCATCACTATGTTGCCTCAAAGGCAACCCACAAATGACCTAGACCAACAAAAGGGACGGGGTTATGAAAAGTCTGACACTGTCTCTGGATTTACGCTGGGCGATAGAACTCATTACCTCAACAAATTTGTAATGCTTATTCAAAAATACGATAGCATTATCTTTAACAATTTAATTTTGCTTACCGTGCTGTGTGGTTACGTTTGGGTAGCAGTCTGTGCAAAATGTTACACTGTATAAAACATTGTATCATGTCGATTGTTACCTGTTGTAATTGCCTTGTTAAATAAAATAAAATAAAAAAATTACATTTTACCATTTTTCTCTGTCATTGCCACATTGGATCTTGACTGAAAATAGATACCTTAAAGTCTCATAATAGAAAATTGTACGGCGGTTCTTTAGCTTATTAATGATCTGCGAATATGTTTGTACTATCACCCATAGATTTAATTATCTAATACAATAAGACATGTGTGCGTTGGGTAGAAAATCGGAAAAAAAACAAATCATATTTAAAATATTGACCGAAGAATTAATTCCACATTTAAAAGACCCATAGCATTTTATAGTCAGGATGCCGATTACAACTAGTGAACATTAGGTATTGCAGGTTTTACAGTACAAGTAGCAAATAAATTGAGTAATTAATAAACGTACTTAGTTATATGTAGGCATAGTTATGTATGTGTACCTCATGTATAAATATTTTCGATATAGATTGTACTGTTGTTCTTTTATAGTCAGTAAAAGGGTAACCTGGACCTTGGAAGACAAATATTACGTTACGTTTTAAATCTATACATTCAAGGTCAATGTCTTAAAATATAGTATATGTGGTTTTCATGTAGTGATACATTTTTCATAATAATTTTGTTTTTGATCCGTAGTGCTAAAAGTTTTAATATACTTACGTATAGATACAGTTGGGAATTGACTTTTTTCTTATCAGTGTCAAGACGAATATACAGCAACCGAAAATGTCTCACACTGCTATCTTCTTTTTTGTCCTTCTAGTTCATTCAGTTCAGTATTTGTACACAAGTGATAGTTCACTTTTTTCATGTTGATTCCTTTTGATATTCTCAAATCGTTTTCATATATTTTCTTACCTAACAATACTTGAATATTATTAATTCTAAGTCATTATCTAATCATAAGTCATTGACATACAAATCACTGAAATAAATTAAAAAGAATATCAAGCTGACTGCAAAGCTAATTTGGACGAAATCTCAATTTCTGTATGAAGAAATGAGAGCAATCAGCTGTGAGCACTCAGTAGCAAATTCTTCTTCTACCAGTTCCTCCTTCACAATCGACGGGTATAAAGGTCATTGACGGCCAAGCCACGCAGATCATCTAGAATTTTATAAAACTTCTTGGTGTGCTAATCGCTAACGCTTTGATGAACAAAATTTTTACTTTTAATTTTCTTGTTTTTTATTGATTTTGATTGGTAACGCTTGCTTACCGCATTACCGATCAAACGATCGAGATGGAATTCTAAATTCAAAATCATTCTTGTAAATAATTTTATTAATTGGCAATGACATTGTTATCATGGTTTTATGAGCACTTTTAAGCATTAATTAGCAGCACCAGTTTTGAAAAATGATTCACTTCATGAGTTCTAAATTTTGCACTTGGCATTCCCCTGAACCTGTGGTAATGACACAGTGGTATATTTGACCCTTGCTTCATATTGGATGTAGTGATCAAAATTACCCCTTGATTGGCTACTCGTCTCATCATATAGCTAGTAAAACTCATTAAGTAGTTACATTTTATATAAGTTTGTTCTATAAATGATATGGGTCTTTGTATTAGTTTCATAAATGCATACGCGTACGTATGATACCTACTTAGAAAATATTAAAATTAATATTTATATTACTAACCATTCCGCCCTTAATGAGTTGCCAAAATTTAAATGAAAAAAAAATGTTTTTAAGATAAACATACCTGACTGTCTGTAGGTAGGTAGGTTATACTATTATAAGTATTATTGTAAATATTATACGTATTATTTATATGTAAATAATATTTAAAGCTGTCAATATGGAGTGATATAGAAATGTATAATTTTACTTGTATTTTTAGGATATTTTATATGTTTTTAATTTTTTTGCTAGCTAATCAGTAAATTGCACCCCACTAAAAAGAATAGAGTATGTGCCAAAAGTATATTAAATTAAGTTGCGGGCGATGTGAGGTCAGGAAAAGAATAGGTGTACATTTTGAGCAACAAGACGGTTAATTGAAATTTAAAGTATTTAAAGACGATTGAAAGTGAAACTTAGCCTTTTTATGATGAATACATTAATTTTCCGTTGAGTAAGTGACTGCTGAGGGAAATTCTCGAGGTGATGCTTCAACAACCATGCCACCATGCGATTAAGAGTAAAACTTGAAAATAATATTAAAACGTGTGCTATGAAAATATGTATCGAGTTTTAAAGATAATCTAAAATACTCGATTCTTAAATATAATCTTATTAATCGCTTACTTCATTTAAATTTTCAATCATGTTTCTTTTTTTTTAAACCGGTATATTTATTTTCTTATCTGCCAGATTGTATCTGGGTCCAACAATATGGTCTCCAGAGGGCCTACCATAACATACCCTTATGGGGCTATAAAATGTGTATAGCTCCATCCCTCTTTCTCGCCCGGAAGTTTGATGCTTTAAAACGTCATGGAAGGCCTACAGAGCGTTATGGCCAATGGTCAACTCTTGCTATCATCCATGTTGTATCGTTCCGCAGATCCTTCTCAAAACGGGCACCATAGCTGGTGATTATAACTGTTCTCAAGTACATCGGTCATCATCTTGTCCAATTTTAACATATTTTTTCATAATAAGTGATAACACAAAATAAACATAATTCATATTGAATACGCGTAAATATTAAATATTAATACAGCCCGTATTTACTTAGATTTATTTATTTTTAATTATATCCATAATATAACCCGTTTTTAAGCGTTTATTTATTTTCATTAAAGTTTGTTTAAATGTGCCAAACATTTGAGCGTGTATGCATTTGTATAAATATGTTTCAGCTGTTAAATTTTTGCATACATTTTAAGGTTATTTGATAAAAGTGTAAACATCAAACTCTACATCAAAGGATGACTTCATCATTGCCAAAAAGCCTGTTTCATATTCATATATGAGATTCATATCCAGGAATTATTCATTCAGACGCATTTAGCAATTTCACGCTTTAGCTAACAAAGACCATAAAAACGTAATAATCTTTAAAAAAAAGAAACAGTCACTTTACTCGAGACTCGATCAAACGATTGAAAAAACTCCAAATTCAAAATCCTTGTAAATGCAAAATTATTGGTTCCGACGTCATTATCATGATTTTATGAGCACTTTAAAAACATTCAGTAGCCGCACTATTACTGAAAAATGTATTCACATCATGAGTTCAAAACTTTGCACTTGCCATCTCTTTCAGCCTTTTTTTGTGAGTAGAAAATCGTGAAATGACTTGTCAGGGAGTGTCAAACTCTTACTGATTAAAATTCCCCCGTTCCTTCTCCTGCTCTAGGCCAGGCCGCGGTGCCTTATTGCGCTTGCCCCGCGACCTCGGCTGAATTCCTCAAACCTGTGGTTATGACACAGTCAAAATATTGACCCTCGCTTCATATTAAAACTAGTGATCAAAGTTTTCCCTTGATTGGCAAACAACTTTCAACATTTAGCTAGTGCTTAAATTTCATCTAACAAATCAAGTTTCATTCTTGTGAAAATCACGTATATAATTGCACCAAATGAGTGATCGCGATTTCTGACGATTATCATCGACAGCCTAAATGTACCTGTTACGGAGCAAATGCCTCTCTTCACAGACAGGAAAGATTTACGCATAAATCACCATGCTTCCTCAAGGTGGATTGGTTTTGCCACGATATTTTTTCAGTACCCAGAATCGACCTTATATCATTTCTATCAGGATAAGACTTAATAATTTTCTTTTTTATAAATTATATTTGAGATTAAAATCTTAATTATTATAAAAGTACCTACATACTATTTCACTCCATATCATTATTTTCACATAATTATTTTGTACATTCATTTAGTTTTAATGCCTCATCTATATTAAGTATTATATGTAAATTATGTACAAACGTTTCCATTTTCAGTATCCTCGATATATTTCGATCAGCTAAAACAAATTGCATTGTATAAAACTCTTCTTAGGCTTTCCTATCTATATATTGTGCAACTTCCCGGGTGAGCTGCATTGAAGCCAAAAAAAAATTGTCTTTGGCATTTTGTGAACCTTGTTTTTATTAGGAGTCTTATGAAAAGACCAATGTCATTTGGGCATTGACGAGAGTATGTTAGAGTCGTCAAGTGGTGCAGCTTAGCCACGGTAGGGCGGGGGTTGGTGGACTTAATGGAAGTTAAGTCTACCAGCCTCCTTCCCTCTCCACAGCTATTCCTGGTGAGGCAAGGGTCGAGGGTAGCCTGTTCACGCTGTTCCTGCATTGCCCGCTGTCAGCCCTCTGCCTCTGCTGCGACATCAAGAAGATGGGATTGATGAACTGGGAACGAGCGCAGTCCTATATCGACGCTTTTCTGAAGGAAGCGGGCGCGCTGGTAGCTCGCAGCCGTACTGGTACGTATTGAAACAAAATGACCTTTATTAACACCATGTGTTGCGTTCTAGGATTTTTCCGTTTCAATAAATAATTATGAGTGATGTAAATAAACGTTAATATGATTCAATTTAACACCGACATATTTTGTGACTTAATACCATCTCAGTCTAACAAAACTTGATTTGTTTATTACTTTTCATTACAAAATTGTTGTAAAATGTCTTCCATCCAATATTTTTACTAATGCAAATTTAACACAACACCCTAATTAAAACTTTGTGTACTTAACAAAAATGAAAATGCACTAGTTCGATTTCCGATAATTAGCTACTTTCGATTTATTCTGATCACGTCGTTAGACTGACTGATGTATGTGCTTTCGAACAAAAACGAGGACTTTGAAAATCGATCAACAACTATCTCTTAACTTTTAAATCGACAAACATGTAAAAATATGGTTAATTGAGAAACTCCTTCTTCCTTTCTTTGTAGTCATAATATTTTACTATGTAGAAATAAATATATAGATAAATGAATCGTTTTCTCTGATTTTTATAGGCACCAGTAATGAGTAACTGCATGGCACGCTCCTAATGTTTCTAGAGAATTCGAAACTTCTCCTATTTAAGGGTCACGATATTATAGACACAATATGATTTCAGAGTACGTGTTGTTCCTGGGGGATGATTTTCTGCGGTTGTTGATCCTACGCTTCATCTTCTGTGAGACGTTTTTGCGAATGCACCGGCTGTTCCGCGGGCGAGCGCAGCATACTCGCTGTAGCCCTCCGCTGCCCAATGACATCTACGACCACCCTACACTCACCCACATCTTCATGGAGCTATTAGCACACCTGCAGGTAACTTAGACAATCAATCGAAGATGATTGATGTGCGAAAGTGCTCTGCAGCATCCGCAAATGTTTCATAAATCGCTTTGCGTGATTGGACAAAAAAACTGTATCAATTATGTATAAGATTCATTTGTTTCTAGGTACGAAGCCACTTCCACGAGCCAGCCGCCGCAGCACAGGCTAGCAGGGAGTGATATGCGTCGAAAAGAGCTCGCAGTGTGTCGTTCGCCGCTCAGTAGTAAATGTATTTCTGTCCACTTCCCGCTGCGGGTCCAGACAGAAGGTACAAAATGGCGGAATGAGTGCTTCCCGACACCAACTTATTGCGAGCGTGTCCCAGAAGATTTTAGTTCCTTGTATTAAGGCTCAAATTACTTGCGCTCCGAACTCAACAATAGGATGTGCTCGCAGCTTCAGATCACACTTTCCTACGTTTATATTTTAACTAATGTTTTTTTATGTGAAAAAATAAATAAGATTGGTGCAACGGTTTACTTGACAATGTTCCGGTCGACTTCTTATATGACCAATTTTATAAAAATATATTTTATAAAATTCAGATAGCAAGGATGTTTCCATCTGCTTCATACCATCTTCTGCTGTGTATTTGGTATATACCAAAGAGATATTCAAGGAAACTGTAGAGCAAAATTGTTTGTAAGTGGAAGCTACGAGCACAGTCCAAACATAATGAATTAATTAATTAATTATACTCACAAATAGTATAAATACAAGACAAGTTGACAAAGATGTAAATAAGTGCTTATTCTTGATTGGAGATATAAATAAAACAATTATTTTCTCTCAAATCACGTATTCGTCGGAATAAAGAGTCAAAATACAAAATATTTTACAATTCCATTTTATGATAAATATTGCGAACTAGAATAATGTTCTTAATTTAATACAAGTTAAAGTTCAAAATTCAAACCACCTCGTGGTTTCGCTGGTAATCTTAGAATCTTCGCCGGAATTTATGGAATATATGACAAAAAATTTTCGAATAGCCTCATTAATACCTCGAAGACGACTGAAATATTAATTTAATATTTATTCTATACACATTACTTAAATATACAGATAACAAATTTACTGTATACATACATAAAAAATAATTATAACTATTTTATATCAGGCTTATCTTTCTTACAATAATGGCACATACTACTACAAACTTAAAAAAATGTTACAAAAAATAGACGATCATTCAAATTACAATGAACAGCTTACATAAGAATTTTTATCATGTGTATTTGTTACTTATACAAATTGAATTGCAAATAAAGACTCTACCGCTAATAAGACTACGTTTAAAATAACATTAATGCTATATATTGTGAAAAATAAAATATTTATTTTCATCGAGTACTTCCAATTTAGGAATTATGTAAATAATTAAAAGGATTAAATTGGCATATACATAAAACTTTTAATAATAAGTATCTGTATGACGTGGATGATATTTTTTCCATAGCAAAATTTCGAGATGAGATTTCGATCCTACCTGACTTCGATACTCAACTTTCGATAGTACCTAACTCATCAAACATAAAACAATTATGAGATTGAAAATATAATATTAGCTTGATCAAAAAATTATAACTTATTTTTTACTTTTTTCACATCCAATTGATATGAACGTCCACATTGACTAGCTATATTATATATACTAAGCGTCGTTAGGTATCCATAATTTAATTCAGTATTTTTTGTTAACTAACCTTCATGCTGTGAGTAGAAAAAAAAATATAAATTATTACCTACCAAATATAACGCTACAATTAGAATGCTTTTAGCAGATAAACTTATTTTAATAGTATTAAAGAAAATAATTATATTAAAATTAACCAATTACCTTTCAGCTTTGTTATAGAATATGTGTAATTAGAAAAACGCAACCAATCCACAAATGTAGAATTTCGCGGGTTTTTTACCAATAAAATTGTTAGATTATTAGATGCATTACAAACATCCTAAGCGTACACATAAGCGATTTATTTCTATTTACATAAAAACTTAGTCTCAACAAATATATATAAATAATTCTATATAGGTACTATAAAGTCATAAATTTAAGAATGATATTATATTCATGTTAATTATTATTACAATATAAAGACTAACGATTATTACAATCCTGATATTTAATGTATAAAACGTATTGAAAAAATCAATTAACTGTATGACACATTTGACATTTTTAATAATGACATGTGTTATGAAATGTGGACTTTATGTAATTATACTCATAAAAGTTATTTTATTTCGCTACTAAATGGTATTGCCATTTACAATATTATGTACCAAAGCGGTCAACAACGTCACTAGAACAAAATGTTTATTAATCAATTGTTTATTGGATTAGTTGAAAAAGTTTGTATAAATGTTCGCAATAATTAACAATTTGGTTTTTAATAATATTGATAACAGCTGTGCTCCCTCATAACAAAAAACAGGCGTTCGTTGTTACCTTAATCAAAATTAGTATGTAACTATGCAAGTATACAATGGTCAACAAAATTGAACCCTACTTAAACCTGAATACATAACTATAAATAACATTCAAATTTATTTGTCTTTGATCGACTTTAAAAATACTTGTACTTCAAAAATTAAAAAGAAAACTTTATTGTCGTTTAAGTGCAAAAATATTAAAAAATACAAAAGAAAATTTTCAAATTTCGAATTAACAATGATAAATTCTATTCTGTTTGGGGGAACACAGCTGTACAATTACAATATCGCGGGTTAAATAGAAAAAAGACCTAACTCAAAAATGAGGATATTCCAAAATTGAACCTTATTATTGAAGCATAATTTTTAAGATTGAAATACTTTATCTTTCGAGTTAGGTCTCTTTTCTGCTAACAAGCGATATATTATACTAACATAGTTATTTCAAATATTGTAAAAACACAAATATCTTAAAAATAGTAAATAAGTAATATAATTGTATTATGATATTGCAATTTACATAACTACTCAACTAGATAAATGAAAGGGTTATAAACAAGTTCATTATTGATGTAAAACATTATTATCTTTGTTTTAGTAATTTAATCATAATATAAACTCTTATTATTGACAACTTTACAAAATACTTTTTTATATAAAAGTATACAAATACATACATGTTCATGCATCATATATGATTGTATGACGATAGGGACTCCTGACTATTAAGACATATAAATCCGTCAATGTATGCCACAATCAAATTTCACAAAATAAGAGAAAAAAATGTTTATATTACCTTTTAATTCTTGTTAATTTAATATAACCCTATTCAATATAAATATTATAAAATAATTATACAATGTCTGTATCTCGTTATAAGCGAACTGTATCTAAATTATTATAACTATGAGAAATAAATGTATTTCAACCAATTAAAAACATGTTTAATTTTTTACTAAGAAATGCTTTCAAGACCAACTAGTTTTGAAGTGATGCGTTGAAAAACGAGCTCATTGATCAACCGATGATAAGCAATCGACGCCGGTATTGGACACCCGCAACACCAGATAGGTTGTAAATCCGTTGCCAGATGTTTGGGGATAGGAGGTTACGGAGATTGAAGGGGAGCGAGATGAAGGACTAGACTTCCAGTTACCTCACTAGAAACACGGCGTTTTCTTTGTCACTCCGGTGAAGGAAACCCATTCGTGATGAAGCATGGCTCTCTCACTCTTAAAGTTCATAATATTTGTTCTCGCATTCCGCAATAGTATTTCAAAGCTGTTAAATAAAGTAAAGTTGACAATCGTTGGGAGTTCGATCGAGTGAAGCATTTTACAACTGGAACAATTAAAAGAATTTATTCGCCTTAAGATTAGACAAATCTAAGAAAATCTGTATTAACATTATGTGAAAGTCACTCCGTCTGTCTGTCTGTCTGTTTGTCTTATCTTTTCGCGTAAACTACTGAACGGATTGCTGTGAAATTTGGTACAGACATAATTTGGAACTCAAGAAAGGACATAGGATAGTTTTTATACAAAAAATCGCAGGAAGTCACTACTCCACACGATGGTCTCTAGGAATAAAATTTAATTTCTTTATTGAGATTAGTTTCACGTCAAAGCATCAGCCTATACATATGTGTAGCTACTGCCGAGCTCAACAGAGAAGACACTTTTGTCTCTTCTCACACGGAGAAGGTTTTTTAACCATTAATCACTTCGTTTGCTCAAAGTGGATTGGCGATATCAAAATTATAATTATTATTAGAAATTATAAAGTCCAGGTTTCCTCACGATGATTTTCTTCACCCTATGCCAGTAGTTGTGCCTAAATAATCATAGAAAGTACATATGTATAACTCAGAAAATGTCACATAGGTACTTGCCAAGTTTTGGACCCATTGCATGAAAGGCGAGCGCCTTAATCTCCGGACCGCAACGACACTGTGTAGTTTATTAATATGACATAATCGGTATGTAAACCATGGCATGGTTTGGAAACACGTAGAACGGCTCACTTTGAGCCTTTTGGGCTACAACAAGGAAACTGCATTAAAGTGACCGAGGCAAGTATATATTCTACCTAAACAAGAATTCTGAGGTGTGATTTTAAAATGCATTTATTTTGATATTATATTGCTAATACAGAGGTGCACACAAAAACTTGCACATGGTTTTGGTTGACCTCGAAAAGGCATACGACCGGGTAACTCGTGAGGTTCTGTGGTGGGCCCTTAAGAAGAAAGGTGTGTGCAGTTGATCCGATCAATGTATAGTCGCTGCAGTACACAAGTCCCGTCTGCAGCGGGCACCACTAACAACTTCAATGTGGCTGTCGGTTTACACCAGGGGTCGGCTCTCAGCCTTCCTTACCTCTTCCTGATAATAATGGACGCTCTGACGTCGGTCATTCAGGAAAAGTTTATTGTTATATGTTTTTGTTTATTTGGTATGTTTTGTTTGGTGTATATTGTGCTGGTTGCCGAGTGAGTTGTGGTGGCAAAGACTGGAGAGTCTTGGCCTACAATTGAGATTTCATAGTAATGAATTATAATACTTAAATCTGTAGAGAGTTCAATTCTGTACATTAAATATATTTTCAAAATAACTACACTGATTGGTGATCGATACATATGCCAAAAATGCAATCAGTATTTTTTTTGTCTGTATGTCTGTCTGTGTGTTCCTTATAGAAAATAAAACTACTTGACATATTGTAACGAAAATTGATA